GTTGGAATGTATGCATAACGTCAGTAGACGTGGAGAGGTACAGCGTACCACTCCGAGCCCCAGGTGGGCCCCACAAAAGTGGCAACCACAGTGGAGGTAAAATAGCGTGTTCGTCAACGCCGGGCCAGTATCGGCATGAGATTGCGGGTAACGGAGGAACGCGGACGTCACACACCATATTACGCGTCAAAATCTGCTGCGGCGTATTGCGGACGGCCCCAAGTTTGTGCGGGTAACTCGACCATATGTTTCGATTTCTATTTTCGCAGTGGGTCCACTTCAGGTTCACCCAATCGTGAGATGGGTATTCGGATGGCTAAACGCGCAGATAAGCTCGGAAAGAAGTACGGTGGTAGTTTCGTGAATCATTGGCGGCAGAAGCGAAGTCGGGAGAGACTTAACGGAGCCGGTGGGGCCCTCGCCACATTCCTCAGCTCTCCCTTATCTGCCCTCTTCCTGATCCGTCCGCGTCGCCATCCACACCGACCGCCTCCCCAACCTCCCCGTTCTCCTCTTCTTCCTCTTCCTTCTCCTTTCTTCGTCATCGGTTGCTGTCAAGAAAAGAGAGAGAGAGAGAGAGAGAGAGAGAGAGAGAGATGGATGTGGTGTTATGCGACGAGCTGGTTCAGGAGATCCTGCAGCGGCTGCCTCCCTCCTCCGCCCCGTCCGTTTCCCTCGTCTCCAAGCGCTGGCTCTCGCTCCTCCGCTCCTCCACCACATCCCTCTCTCTCCGCATCCCCCCAAATATAGTTACTGCCACTGATGCTACTGCTGGTACTGGTAATTCACCATCGCTTTCCTCCATCCTTGCCTACTACCCTTTCCTCACCAACCTCACCGTCATCTCCGCTCGCGAGGACGCCGACGCCCTCCTCCTCTCCATCGCCGCCGCCGCATGCTCCCCCCGCCTCGCCATCCTCCGCTTCCTCCCGGCCTCCCCCCTCTCCCCCGCCGCCCTCCACTCCTCAGCCGCCGCCTTCGCCAGCCTCACCTCCCTCCGGATCGCCTCTCTCCTCCCCCTATCCTTCTGCTGGCTCTCCTCCCTTCCCTCTCTCCGATCGTTCTCCCTCGTCCGCTCACGCCCCAAACGCCTGCCCGGCTGTCGGCGAGAACCGCCATGGCAAGAAGCGGAAGAGCCGCCGCCGCCGCCGGCTGAAGAGGACGAGGACGACGATTTCGATCAGTCGACGCCCGTGACGCTGCCGCTTGAGAGCCTGTCCTTGTCCGGCATCTGCGCCGCCGACCGCGGTCTCTCCTGGCTGTGGCGCCGGTGCGCGGGACTCCGGTGGCTGCAGCTGCGCGCCTGCGAGGGGACCGGCGACGGCCCCTCATCCCCAGCCTTCCCCCTCTGCCTCCCCGGCCTCCTCGGCCTCGAGCTCCGCACCTGCCGCGCGATCGCCGACCGCGTCCTCCTCCATGCCGCCGAACGCTGCCGTGCCCTCACCTCTTTCCTCCTCTACGACGGCGGCAGCCGCGACGCCCTCCGCCACTTCATCCATCGTCGCGGTGCCGCACTTCGTACCCTCGACCTCCGCCTCCCGCTCGACCTTCATAACGACCACCTCTTCGCCATCGCTGCCGACGACCACCGTGGCGGTACCGGCGCGCCCAGCGGGTCCGGCCACCAGCTCGCCGCCCTACGCCTGCACAGCTGCTGCCTTGTCACGGGAGACGGGCTCCGCTCCCTCGCATCGTCCCCGGCTGGTGCGGCGATTGAGGAGCTCGCCCTGGTGAATTGTGATGTCGTGGAGCGGGAACCCGGGCTGCTCACCTTCCTCAGTCAGAGCATGCAGCGGCTGCGGAGGCTGGACTTGTCCCACACTGAGACGCTGACCGATAAGGAGGTGGGATCGATGCTTGCGTCTTGCAGGAATCTGGTGGAGATCAGATTAAGAGGGTGCGGAGCACTGACGGGTGCTTCTTTGATTTCCTTGCTTAAGCACTGCGGCCAGCAGTTGGAGGTGGTTGATATTACTCGGTGCCCGGGAATCGTCAGTGATGCTATTGAACTACTCGTCATGAATGCTTGCCGATTGAGTCAACTGATGGTGGAGGAGAACAAAGTCACTGAAGCTGCTATGATTTGGCTGTCTCGAAAAGCAATTAAGATAGGTTGATCATGTAGTTCATATATCAACCGCAAAGAAGGTACATCAACTGAGTCCCAAAAGCACCTTAATTTATCTTTCCTGCAGTTTAATAAGTTATTAGGTCTCTCAGTTGTCCATAGTGTAAATACAAATTCTCGGCTCCTCACAAAAAACTTGGTCGAAAATGATGCATTTTCCACTGTCACAACTGTATCTAAGAGTGTCAAAAATGTACTAGTATTTGTATCTGTGTCATTATTTCTAGTGATCATCCTGGGAATCCAGTCACTCTCTCCATGCCTAGGCGTTTATGATTATGGCTCGGAAGAGAGCATTGTATGTTGTTTATGTCTATGATATAGCAATTAAGATATGTCATACATTCTCAAATCATGAGTTGTTGGCCATTTGCAAACATCATGCTCCTTTCTTTTTCCCTTTGATAGAAAAAAGAGAATATCCTGGTCTTCTAATCATGTTTGATAAAATTGTTGTAGAGTGTGTGACTTTGTGATTTCCTCAATACCCAACCATTCACAGCAGTTGACCTTTCGCAGATAATACACATTTGCTGGAGTCTCGGTTCACCTGGCCTCCCCTGTATTTGCCTTTTCTATTGCAAATTTCTTTTTTATTTTATGAGATATTAGTAGTTCCCTGCCACTGGCAAGGTATGGGTACATTACAAGGCGTACATTCCCATTTATCTTGATTGTTGAATGATAGTTGAGAATACTAACATTATTTGGATGATAATGTTATACTCTATTCAGCTAATTGTGTAATACTATTTTAAAATTCAAGAGGCCTGTTAGTAAATAAGCCTGTCCAGCCATACAAACTCCTGCAAGGTGAGCAAATTTTTTATGGCCTTAAGTGAATTTTCACAACAAGTTTTAACTAAGTCAATATAGGATTATAGGGTATGCATCTTGTCGTTGCTGGTTCTTTGCTTTTAAGCAAATTATTGCAAGTTTCTTCATTTTTCTTAATAAATTAGTGCTAATTTACATGACTCTTCTACATCCCTAATTTTTCGAGGGGGTTCTTCCACATTACCACAGCAATAAAAAAAACATCAGTGCTTTACGAATTTGTATCTGAACAAAATTGGGATTTCAAAGAACCCAAAGAAGAAAAACAATGAACTTGAAAAAATGGAGTGCAAATTTCATGGTCTCACAGTGGCTACCATGGTGACCAAAGCTGAGTTGGATATTTTAGACTTGGAATTGGACATGCTATAATATAATGACAAGTTGCAATGAATCTCTGGCTTGAAGGTAACTCTAGGTTGACATTAATTTGAAAAACTGGAACAATTAGGTTGACCTAAACTTCAGCTCAAACTCGACCGCATTATCCAAAGTTTCAGGTAGTTAACTTTTCAGTAGCAGCATCTAGTGAGGAAACTGCAGGTCGTCACAATCAGGACACAATTTACTTGATATAGTTTTTTTCTCTCTCCTTGAAAGATTAAACCTGGTAACCAAACATTCAGATGAATTTGAAAGATCGATTGAGCTTTGACTACTTCAGGTCGATATATCTTATCATTTCAATCTTGTACCCAATGAAGGCTTTATCTATCTTAAGTTGTTGAGGCTACTATCTCTGGCTCCTCTTTTATTTTGGACACGTTAAAAAATTCATGTCTATTTTGCATCACACACTTCTCATGGTATATATAAATTGTTGCTTTGTGTTGAGCTGACCTGGTATAAAGGCTCTCTGCATCTATCTGTTGTGGTGTCTCTGGTGTTGTTGCAGAAAACCAAGCAAATTAATGATTAAAAACAAACTTTCAAGAGTGGTATCCTTTCTAACTTCTAAATTCATCTTGCTAATACTAACTTTTCTGTTCTTAAAGTCTTCCTAGAGCCCAAGTATGAGATTCTTTTTATTTTTGTGGTTGTCTTCTAAGCCATGCTAGTGAAACTTGGTGCATATGAATGACATAAACCTGTGTATCATGGTGACATACTGGAAGCACCTGTCCTTCATGGTTTATTATAGGGGAAGCTGGGAGTTTAGACATTATTACTGATCATTATTTTACAGCTAGTTGCTAAATCCCTAGAGTGCTTTTGTTATTGACTACAGTACAGTTAAGTTGACACACACGCCTGCTGTCTGTGTTATGTATATTTTCTCGATACATGTCGATATTGTGTAAAATGTTCTTTGGTAAACTAGATGTCCAAATGCATTGGAAACTTCATGATACTTCAAGTGGATCTTGTGGTTGAGGATTTTGACAAAGGTGGACAAAATGGTTTCTTGACCCTAGAAAGTTATTTTCATGTCAAATAAATTTTCTGTTTTTATGGTATTGAATGATATGTTGTGTTTTGGTGCTTAATTGGCTTTGCATTATTATTTCTGCTTGCATTTGATTGACTAAAGGGTTAGTACTAGTGACAGTTCACTTTATCGGTTCGTACTGGTGTACCGATTAGTCGTCGGTATGGTACACACCAATGCATACCGACATATCATATGTTGGTACGCCTGGGCATACCGATGATATGGTAAAATTACTGAAAATAGCTCCAAAAAATCATGAAAAATAAAAAAATTATGAATTTTAAGTTGAAAATAAATATAAATTTAGTATACTTTTAGTAAAAATAATCTAAATTAGGAAAGAATAGTGATACATATCTTTTCGAGCTTTGCGAAATAACTTTGTGGTACGTTCCGAACCTTTATTCTATTAATATTGAATTATCTACAAAGAAATGATTTGATTTGTTATATTATTTTTTAAATAACTTAAACTTTAGAATTCAAATAAATTAAGTAATCAATCGATGGATATACCTGATTTTACCACAAAAAAAATAACGGGATTGCACAAGCGGTGGATTAAAATCCTCAATCATATATATATGTATATGTATATGTATATATGTATATATATGTATACATGTATACATATATATATATATCAATTTGATATGTTTGTTAGACCAAATCCTAAAAATGATCCCACGACATAGTATATTGATACACCATATGCCATTGGTGCATCAATATGGTGATAGTCGTGGTCCGATCGTCGTGAATCACATGTTTCTGAGGCGACTCTTGAGGCAAGGATGATTGTGGCATGTATTAGTGTAGGACATGGAGAATATCAAAACTTCTACTTTCACCACTGATCTGTTGCCTTGTATCATAAGATCAATCATCGTACTCTTGCTCGGAGAAGTGTGACCATATATCACCGTACTGCTGTTGGCCGTAAGATTCTTTATAATATGACGGTTATGAATACGATGATCTTTGTTGTCTATGTCGCGTAAGCTCTGTCGCATCTGCTCAAAATCATCCACTACCTTCCACTTCTGTGTATAAACTTGATCAGTACGTTGTTGAGCTCCATGATCTGAATCTTGGGTGGTATGTGTAAAATACTACTCGCCGGTTCATGCGCCACCCTTAAATTGTGTAGATGAAACCATCGACTCCCTAGCGTTGCCGCCATCATTGGTTGAGCACTACTGTTCACGTTGCTACCATGTCTCTGGACCGAGAGGGTTGTTGAATATGATTGAGAATGTGTCTCATCGTTCGACTCGATTCTTTTTAACGGTGCGATTGATGCTATCGCCTTCCTCTTTGTCTTTGCCTTTGCCTTTGCACTTGCACGTTGGGTGGACGACTATGGTAGACAAAAGGGTTTTAAAACCTTTTCCTATGGTTCAAACGTTAAATTGACCATTTGAAATAAGACAATATGAGCCCTTAATTGATAACGGTTGAAATCCGACTGTTATTGGTACAGGTTGGTAATGGTCAGATTTTAACCGCTACCAATCGGTACAGACCTTGTATCTGGCACAGACGACCCCATATCGCCCGATATGGGGTCATGTAACGGGTACTACTCGGGAGAGGGCAGTCCACGTACTGATCCCTTGTCGGATCGGTACATATCGCCCATACCGAGTGGTACAGCTCAATACAACAAACCCAAGTACCACTAATGGTTCCTCTAATAGAACCATAAATTCAAAGTAGTTTCTCCACTTTTCTCTATCAAGTTTGTTCTTAAATTTTAGGTTCTGTCACAATTCCTCTTCTTTCAATGCTATTGTCATAGTTGATAAAGGCAACTTACTGATATTGAATAATAAAAAGTTAATGTTAATAGTTTATCTTTCCACTGATGATTAATCTCAAAATTGTCATCTTCCTCTTCTTTCTTTATTCCTCCCCCTTGTCTAATGGACCGTCATCAACTCCTTTTCTTATGGAATAGGAGGTTTGGAGGAGGCGGAGGAGGAAGCTTAAGAATAAATTACACATTGAGTATCTGAATGCTTAAAAGTCTTGAGGATTTACAGGTGGAACGTAATATAATCTTTGAAGCTAGTTTATTTTGATGTTTTGGAACATTACGGATAGAGGAATTCTTTCTCAGTTTCTCCTTCCACAAGAGAAGCCCAATAAATAAATCCAAATTATCCTAACCTTCCATCCTCAGTCTCAAAATAACTAGGATGGTTTGATGGCCCTTGGTACATAAAAATTGTACAAAAATATATACTGGCAAGAAATATTGGTTTATTACTATAATTTCGAACAGCATAAGGTTAGGAAAGATGCTCTTATCTTCATTTCTGATGTGTATGCATAAAACTAAGCTCAGGTATTACCATTCAAAAGGGATGGCACCCACAGAGATGGACAACATTAGCACTTCGAGGCAAAGAAGATCATCGATCAGAGGGAGAGAGAGAGAGAGAGAGAGAGGAAATTTTAATGATTTTGCATGTTGAAAGACTCAGGTATGCATGTAAATTATATTGTTTGTTATTATGAATGCTAATGTATGTTCTAAAGATAGTTCTCCATGATTGATTATTAAAGTTGTGTATTACTCTCTCTCTCTCTCTCTCTCTCTCTATAAACTAGTAATTTGGTTTACATTGTCGTAAATGTTATTTTATAGTCAGATGTAAAACAGAGGCCATGGTGTTGAGCCCCATGACATTGATCAGAAGAATCACAAAGACATCTAGACCAAGTACATTTCAGGTGCCAGAACTGTGCCTAGACACATGGTATGTTGGTACCTACCACAATGCAAAGGGAAGAGGAGAGGAGGAAGGCAAAGAAGGAAAGATTAGTGGAGGAGGAGGTGGAGAAAAAGGAGGAGGCGGCAGCAAATGCGGAGGAGGAGAGGAGTATTAATTCTTACAAATGGACTGGCGGGCCGAGAGTGGCAGCAGATGGCGTGAGGAGAATCAAGAGAGAGATTAATAAAAATTTACTGGTCTTAATGCATGATAAAATATATATGGAATTGAGCAGGGAAAACCTCTGAAATGATTTCAATATTGGACCTTGGACATATAATAGTTCCGAATCGAATCTCTTTAAAAAGATCTTTTGTCTCATGGTAGCCTGCTCCAGTCCCCTTACGAAACTTTCGTTATTGGGTTAGCCATACACTTCACATGTTTCTAGCGATTCACATGGCATCATTTGGGCATTGTTAATACTCTGTCACAAATGTTCTGCAGATCCTTGAACTAAACTTGGCATTTTATATGTTGTCTGTCTCAATGCTTTGACAAATGTTTTGCAGGGAAGTTTCCACCCCCTACGTTTATCCTATTGGATCACAACCAGTGAAGGCCACTTAAAACTGACGAGAGTTGAGGAGAGAGGTCTAAAATGAAACAATGGATGACAAGAGATTGTGTCCCCAGACAGAGGCTTGAACCCAGGTCAGGTGCCTTCTTGATGGTGTCATCCTCTGCCTCTGTAAATGAGAAGTCCTATGAAGTGACTTCCATTACCTAACTAGCGGAGCGCATGGAACATTAATTTATGGAGTATTAAGCAATGAAGACATCAATCCAATTATGGCCGTATCAATGTTCTTCGATTTCAGAAGGCCTCACAATTGGTTCGTCCAACTTTGTACATCCACTTTCCTGGACATGAGCTGGTATAGTTGTTTCCTGCCTCCTTGACATCGTTGTTTTTGTTTCTCCTCCTCCTGCTCAAACTTTTGCCCCTCAAATTTATGACTTTGGATGGATGTGGTTTCTAATGTTTTCTTGAACTGGCATCAAATTTGCCTTTAGATCTTCATTCATAACGTAGCTTTTGGCCTCTTCATTAGGAAGACTTGTGAAGTAGCAAAATTTTCCAAACTTGATTACAGTCTTGATTCTCTTGAATACCTTATCCGTATTTTCAAATAGAGCAACAAAGTAATAGTGCTTTTAGTACTGAATACTGATTACCATGTTACTAATTCTTAATTTTCATTGATACTCCAAGAGTTGCAGGTAAATCTCTGCTATTGCCAAGGACCACAGAAAGAACAAGTCCATGATATCAATGAGAGCAAGGATAATTTGGTATAGATGGAGAAAGTGAACAAAGATTAACACTTTTACTGACTGTGAATGATTTTTTTTTTCTCCCTGTAATATTAAGCCTTTGAGGCAAATTTAACTTCTTTTAATAACTAATTTCCAGAGTTCTCATGGGAGGCAGTGAAGATGATCACAACAAGTACAAGCTTGGATTACAAAGCAGACTGTGCTAAATATCATCTTTAGATTAACAGGCTCAGGTAAGTTCTTAGCAACCTCATCATGCATCCTGCCTGAATAATCCTGCAACAGTTTTATGAGTGAGATGAATTGCAGATTAATTGGTGATGACATGAAATTTACTTTTGTTGCCAACATGACTACTAACGAGAACTTTACAAGCAGGAAAAAGACATGATGATGATGAACAATATCTAATCACTGTTATATCAGCCTTAACTGGTTGATCAAACATGAACCCGACCCGTTAAGGATTATATAACATTGTCGATCCACCATGTCTCTGGCAGGTGAGAGGCTCCTCGTTCCCTACCGCCATTGCCCTTTGCGATATTGTTTAGGGTCTTGATCTTTTAGGGCTTGCATCATATTGCATGCTCGATCAAGGATTGCAAGAACTCATCAGGGGTTGTACTCGGTTCATAATGTGTTTCCTACGGTAGTATATGCCAGTGGTATATGGGGTTCTTAAGGATTCGAGACTTTGTTTTTCTATACCCCAAAGATCAATATTTATATATTACAATAATTATTAAAAATATCTACACATGATTTTTACTAGCTTAAAAAACTTATAATTGTAGAGTTTATAGAGATTTATAATGATGAATTATATATAAAAAATTTAGTATATTGAGATGATAAAAGATCATAACCACTAGTCTTGAGATTATAAAGAGTGCATAGAAAACGTTAAGGATCAATTTTAGATCTGTATCCTTTTTAATTGATAATATATGAATTTACTAGTCATATACTTGATAACATGGTATGCAATATCGAATGGTATCGTCCGATACGAGCGGTACGTACCGGTACACGGACCATCCGGTATCGGACGAAACGTGCTATAGTGCTATACTACTACACTGTAGCAGTGCTACAGTATTATAGTAGCAAAAAAATATATAAAACTGTTCGGTATGTCCTGGTGTACCGCTCGATATCGTACCGTACCTAGTCAACATCGAAACACCGGTACGGTACGGTATTACATACCTTACTTGATAAGCCCTCGTAGAATATGTTATTATAGATAAATTATTTTAATTGATATTTAGTTGGGCTTAATTCTGAACTTGAGTTACATTGAATGTTAATACTGAATTATTTAGTTGGGATTAATTATTTTAATCAAATACTGAATGTGTGAAATGTAGTTTTAGAAATACTGATAAATCAAATGTTGTGATAGCTAAGAGGATGGACAGAAAGTTTTCATTAGTAAACTTTTTAGGGATCTTAAATTTATTATCGAACAAGGAGATATTTATGGAGACATTGTTCATATAGTAAAAAAAACTGATGGTGTTAAATTGGGGAGAAATGTGAAGGATTTTTTGCGATCATTATTTTCCCCTTATACTTAAAAGTTTGTAAACGGTTTAAGGTCAACTATACTTTTTTTTATCAGAGTGTTACGCAACTAATAAAACATTTGAAATAGTCTAGTATAGTCGTGGTAAGACCGTTAAGATATATGGAGTTGTTCGAAAAGATAAAGAGTAAAAAATAATTGTATTAAAAAATAATTAGATGTTATTTTGATAGTGGGTATATTGAAAAATCATCGAAAATGATATGGACATGTTGATTAGTTATTTTTTTTTGAGATTAGACATTCAAAGACTGCTATTCCTTATTTTTTCTGGTCTAATCTGTTCTGGTTCAATTTTGGCTATAATAAGTATCACAATCAAAAACCTTCTCTTCTTATAAATCCAAAATTTTGGAAATCGCAAGCTCATGTTAATGTACCATACCATTTTGCATTGCATAACATCTCTTAAAATGCATAACTTTTGCTTTACTGGAATAATATTTTTCTACTAGGAAAATGATGTGTTTCTTCTCTATGATGCAGAATGAGTCAATCTTGAGGGCTTGTGCTGAGCCAAGACAAGAACCTACAGCAAGTGCTGCAGTTGCAGTTGGAAGCAAACAGACCAGATCTTCTTGTCTATTAATCCATCATAGCCCATAAGAATCTTGCTTGACTGTACTAATACTTAATGCAAGTCATGTCCTTCTTTGTGCAGTTTTGGATCCAAGATCAAATATTGGATGTGATACTGGTGTCCTAGAATGTACTGTTATTGCTCGAATTTGGTATGACCTATCTTCTCAATGTTTTATTGATCCTCCCTTTCAATCCCAATCATAAAATCTTTTCTTAGTTGTGGTGCTATGCCTTGCCTTGTTATTACAAAAGTGTAGTCATTAACTTGTGATCTACGTATCAGTTGTTTTTCTGGACATATGTGCAGGTTCTGATGACTGAACGTGCATGCATCTATGCATCTTCCAAGTAAATCGTGTTGTTGATGTTGTAGACGCACAAGCTATAATTGTCCCCTTATCTGTTGTGTGATTGCGTGGCTCGAGTGACATTATTATCCCAACCTGCCCACACTCTTCTAGATTTTTGGTGCCTGTCTTTGTTTCTTGTTCTGCTCGAATTCCCCAGTCAACGGGGTGGTTGGTCAAAAGTCTATTATTTAAAGCTTGAAGAAATGGCGTGTTCCACCGTGCCGGCAGTCTTCCTTGATCGATGATCGCCAAGAACAAAACCGAGTTAGCAGTCCAGTGCCACACTCAAGATGTGTATGCTTGATCCGGACATGCAAGCATTACGAACCACAGCTTCTTCCTTGGCGGGTGACAGGTTTGACTGTTTCATCTCTTCGTTCATCGACTTGTTTGAGCTGTGATTGCTCATGCCGTTTGTCTTTTGCTTCAAGTTGGTCATGTTTGTTGTGTCGCCTAATCTTCTGCTACTCCTTTGGGTGGCCACTTGTTGCCCTCACAGAGACCAAAAGAGTGTTCAAAGAAGGGCACAGCGGGGGAGAGCTGTCAGTCAAGGAATCAAATGTGGAAAAAGAGGCTGCGGGGTTGCCGTCTCGAAAGAGTTCGCGAGGCTCTTCGAATGGGCGATGATTCCAAAACCAATCTCACAAGGAACTTCATGAATGTCGGCTGCGCTGTGGAGTGCCATGTCATGTCATGGCAAGCGTAAATTGACAGGGATAGCAATCACTCTCTGTGCCCCTACTACTTCTTCATGTGCTGTGGAACGCATGCATGCATGCCGCATCATTGGACTCGGTATATTTCGATTTCCTGCATTTTCCTTCCTTTTAATGAAAATTACTCCTTGCATTTTAAGCATCTTCTTCATTTTATTTTGTGATTACATAAGAAATTGTATCGGTTTGATGTCTTTTATATATGTGCAGTCAAAGTTGTCGACGAAATGACTACAAGAAACCTGGAGGATCTCATCTCAGAAGGCTAAAGATCCATGAAAGAGCCTCATTTGACAAGGTCAGCACTGCATCTCTGTATCATGGGTCTCACTCTCCCTTAGTCAAACCAAAATCTAGTGCAAGATATTCTTGGCCAAGTTGTGTGTCTTGTCAAGGGACCATCAGCCCTATTGCTTCGGCTCTGACTAAAAGCGTATGTGCATAGCCCTCCTTATTTGGCTTTTTCTTCCCCTCTTTTCACAGCATTTGATCTTTTCCTCTGCACCACCAAAGCACTTCCTCTTCGATAGTACCCTCCTCACTGTTAGACACAACTTGCAATGTGCCATTTCTTCTGTGTATCCATCCCTTCATAGTATTGTTTAATACTTCATCAGACAAAACTAAAGATCAAATAAGGAGACATTTTGTTCTTCTGGACATTGAAGTTTTCGTTTCCATATTAGCCATCAGTTCAACTGCTGCGTAAAGCTCTTTTGAATCTAAGTCGTAGATAAGGCATCCTACAAGTTACAGCTCAAAGCTTATTTTGCAGTTGGCTTCTGAGGAACAAAAAGGAAGAAAGAAAAGTCTTGATCTAATGATACAGCAGCGCGACATGCCTATGTTCTCATGGAGTCAAACTCATGCTGCCTGAACTTGCTTCCTCTCCGTCACCAGAACCATCAGAGAGTTCGGTGACGCAGCTCGACTCCTGCCTGTGGTCTTCCCCGATCTCAATCTTCGCTCTCTTCTTCTTAAAGACGCGGCAGACCACCCAATCCCACCTTGCAGCCATGGTACCCTGCATCATCAGGTTCAGATCTTTCCCGAATCAGTAACCTCCTCGGTTCTTCATTTTGATTTATTATAAGATTATTGCATCGATCGATGACAGCAACTTTTTGCATGCTCAGTAGGGACTAGCTTGTTATACTCCAAGGTTGGGTGAGAGTTCTCTGATGGCTTCTTCTTAGGACTAGGAAGAGGAAGAACGGGGAAGTAGGAACTCACATGAGTTGCGTCCGACGTGGTCGTAGCATGAGGGCCGGCAAGGCGGTACTCGTGCATGATCCATTCGGTCTTGGTGGGCGGCTTCCCTCGGTGGAAGACGGAAACCTTCTTCATCCCCACCACCCGGTGGCACCAGGAAAGCGTCACTGGTTTCTCCTTCCCTGTGGCTTTCCAGAAACCGGATCCAGCCGCCTGGTTCCGGCGGCTCCGGTTCGGATTTCTGGCCTCTCTCAGGCCGAAGAAGTACTTCACTTCCTCGCACCCGCACCCACCTGCAGCATCACGTATCGAGGTGAAACATCAATTCATCAAGAGGTATGGTATCAGATCAGGTTAGAACACCAACCACAAGCAGGTAGATCCCATGGATTATACTTGCTGAGATCGACTTCCGGGATGATGGAGGATGGCAAGGGAGAGGAGTAAACCTTCCTCTTAAGGTACTGAAGCACGAGCTCTTCGTCGGTGGGGTGGAACCTAAACCCAGGGGGGAGCCTCAGCACACCATTCCCTGTGAATCTTGGCTTCTCCTCCATAGGTTATGACCCAGAAGCTGAGGGAATAGACAAAGAACAAAGAAGAGAGGGAAGAAAGAACTCTTCTTTGTTCTGCCTAAGGAGTGAAAGACTCCATAATCCTCGACCCTCTTTTTGTTTGTTTCAGCTAAAGAGCAAACAAAGACTGGGAGGAGGACAAGGGAGAGGGAAGGTGTGTTTGTGGTGTGGTTGGGGGTAGGGGGGGGGGAGGAAGCAGGTCCTTATAGCGAAGTTTGCCGGCAGTGGGCGACGACCATGGTGGCGTGATCCAGACTCATCCGGCAGTTGAAGATGTCAAAGACGGAGAGAGAGAGAGAGAGAGAGAGAGAGAGAGAGAGAGTAATAATGATAATAGAAAGACAGGCAAGCGGCGGCACAAGCAATCCTCCGCTGGTCAAACACAGCACGGCAGGCAGGTGTCGGCCGCCGTGTGGAGATTGAGATCCACAGCTCCTTGTCCTGTGGATGGAGTCCATGTACTTTCCAGGAATCTGGAGAGCTCACAGGGTAAGACATTCATCGGAGTCCATGTACTTTTTCCATGAATCTGGAGAGCGCTCACTGGGTAAGACATGCACTGCTGACTTTGCCCGCGTCTCCAGGAGACTTGTCAGAAACTTCCAAGTGATTTATAGCGAAGCTAAATGTTAAGAGGACACTAATAAATTAGATTCGAATACCTTTTAGTCTTCAGTTTGGAACAGATCTGAATATTAAAATGGGTATTTAGATCGAGTTAGGTATTTAAATACTTAAATGGATTCAGATTATGGAATAATGTGATGCACGGATCCCTTAATTGTTAAATAATAATAATAATAATAATAATAATGTTATTATTATTATTATTATTATCATTTCATATGTTTTTGGGCATACATATCTAGATACAAGTTTGACTAAGCTACTCGGATCATGATTACAGATCAGACATAACATTTAGATATATATACATATATATTACTAATGTTTTTAATTTTGATGATTATATGTATGCTAAAAATAAATTTGAATTTGAAGTAATATAAATAAATGTATGTCTTTATATAAATTTCTTAAAATTTTGATCCCACCATTCCCAAAAGGGTTGAGACCCCTTTTTCCTTTCCCTTTCCGCCTTCTTTGGGTGCCCTTTGTGGGCAGCAATCTGATCTCAAGACATGTCACAATTCCACTTCGAGGCATCATTTGGAAGAACAGATACCAAAGTGTTTTAGGTTCATGTGGCATGTTGGCAGATTACTTGAACCTCACTCACCCTTGAAAGGATCACTCTCCATTCTGATCAAAAGAAAAAAGAAAAGAAAAGGTTAAACACAAGTGTTAGGATTTGCAAATTAGAGGATGTCGTTTTCCTCTTATCCTTCCCTTTTCCATGTTTTTGATGAGCCACTGCCCTAAACAATGCTCTGCTAACATACTGGATGAACAACATAGCTCTCCTGTAGCTAGTTTTTGTTTTTTTTTTCCTTTACCCCTTTGTTTATGTGCCTATTTGACTCTTATTCTTTATTTACATGATTTGCAGGTAGCTCTACTCTTTTTTTTTTTTGTACACAATGAGAAATTTTCACCATGCTTCTGTTTAGTCCACTCTTACATATATATTATTATTATTATTATTTCAAGCTTCTCAGATTCTGGCAATTTCCTATTCCCTTCTCATCTTCAAAGCAAACATTGAATTCATGCATTTATTTTCCACCATGAAGACATCATGTCCTCATAACAAAGTGGAATTTGTGTTCTGAAGCAGTCAAGGTTGTTGTGGCTAAGGGAGTTTACTGGTCTTGTGCAGTTTGCGCCATGAGAGGTGTTCAAAGTCTTCCAGACTCAGCTGGGTTGACAAAAGAATGCATGTCAAGTTTGAACTTACATGACCATCATATTTCCTGGACATTGTGAAGTGGAATGAGGTATATATACTTGTAAATGTTTCATTATATACCAGTAAATCACTTGTTACATACAAACAAATCCTGATATATTGTAAATCGACTTATTATTTGAAATATTACATGCCACATATAATCATTACAGCCAAAATGTAGAAAATTAAATACATAAAGTATCTTATATTTTTTTCACCAAGTAATTGATCTATTATGATTGGGTATTTTATCGATTTTTTTCAATATTATTTTTTTATCGAATGATGTCTCTCATACTTTTTTTTTTTTTTTTTTCTGTTTTCACATTGGTTGAAGATATCCTCATATTTTTACCTAAATGATTTAATTAAGATGCTATTAAAAAAAATCTTTAATTTTGATAATTAATCAGCTTTAAATTTTATAAAAAATATAAAAAAATAATAATATTAGAATCATATCCTAATGATTCTAAGATGATTAGATCTTTTTTTTTATTTTTTTTAAAAATATAGTAATTAATTATCGATTTTTTAATAACATATGTGACAAGGTATTTTTTTTAGTAAAAGACTTGAGGATATTTTCATTCAAAAATGCCCCGTATAAAAAATAAATATGGGAATATTATTACTTTTTTTCAATAAAATTATACTATATTTTTAATATATTCCAAGGAAATTTTGGTGTTAAATTTATTTTTAATATCGTTATATTAACGGTGAATCAATGGAAATTAATCACAATGATATGAATATAATTTTAACTTAGAGGAGTAAATTTGTAAACTATTACATTTTGAGGAATATAAATGCAATTTTGTCACCCAACAAATTGTGATTACGACACGTGTTGATTCGGCCAATAGTTTTGTCTACGTGGCGTATAAAAACGCAATCTTAGTGGCCGCTTGTAGGGGCCCACATCAATGTGTTTGTATTTATATTCATCCGAAATTAATTAATACAAATTTATTTCAATTTAATATATATATACAGATATTTGGAGGGCTTCAATGAAAAAAAAGAAAAAAAGATATTGGGATATGTAATATTTGTGGGATTGGATTGGCAATTTTGGTCGCACCTCTCTTTCTTTCCTCGTGTCATCACTCAGTCTCTTGAACCCTAACCCTAAGGAGTATATGTCATGGAACTCCGCTCGGGGGTCTGTTCCACAAGATACCCTTTTTGATCCGCTCCTGGGTTTTGCGGATTTGCCCTCTCTTCTCCACCTCGCCGTCCGCGTTCGATTCTGCCCCTAAAGGTGCGAGCTTTTCTCCCGATTTCGATGTGGAGATGATAGCAGATGTCGTCTCCGGTGGATGACTTGATGATTCTTGATTGATTGTTTTGGTTTTTGTGATGTTGGGGTGATCGGTGATAGATCGGAGAGAACAAATGCCAGAAGAGGATCTGGTCGAGCTCAAGTTCCGGCTATACGATGGATCGGACATCGGCCCGATCCGCTACTCTTCTTCTTCCACTGTTGCCATGCTCAAAGAAAGGATAATCTCCGAGTGGCCGCGAGGTAGGAGTTCCCGGTTTCTCTTTGAGTTTTTCTCGCTCCTTGATCAGCAAGTCAAAACCCGTTTTTTGGCAATCTCGTAAGCAAGGAACTTTCTGTTTCTTTTTATTCTTTGGTTTTGTGATCTTTCATCCAGTCAAAAACCTTGTTTTTGGGTGGATCATCTGTTTGCTTCTTTGTATGCTCGTAATTTTATTGGGGCTTTTGACGTGGTAGTTGATTTCAATTAATTAAATGTTAAACGAAATATTAGACATCCTTTAACTTTTCATTTGTTTGAAATTGGTGCACTGTTTGTGATGTTATGTGTAATGATCTAATCCACTTGTTGGTAAAGTGTATTATGTATCATATTACCTTGAATAAGATGGACCAAGGGCACGTAACTAGTATATGGATTTTGTGACTATGATCAACCAGATAACCTAATTATCGATGTTTAGAAGACAGGCATAGGACTCAAGTCATGATAGAATTTGAATTTCCAGATTGTACTATCTTCAACAAAAAACTTTAAGTCTGTCGAAGTAAAATTCAAAGGGCGACAACTCATTATTTTTCCCCTTGCAAATTACTTTCTTTTACTTTTTATTTTTTTTGTATGATTCTGTATGTTTTAGCCTGAAGTTTCTATTTAATGGCTTCTAAATTCATCGAGCTCGCAGAACTTGTTTTCTGTGTATTTCAGATATTCGTTTCTTTAGTACCCTGTTTATCAGTCAGAAATTTTTGCAATCATGCTAAAAGGTATTTTCTGATGGACTCATAGTGTATGCACTGTGATGTATGCATCAGTAGGTATAATAGTGCCCATTAACATTCTTTTTGTTGTTTCTGTGCACAACCTTGCATGCCTTTCTCAGAGACGCACAAGTCGACCTTTTCATATTTTTGTACGTCTCATAGTGGCTAGACCTTTCCTTATAGGAAAATTCCTTTGTATTAATTATCCTGCTAGTGTTGTCCAGTATGCTGAAATTTCAAATCGATGGTCTTTGTGTCACACCAGATGCTCAACTTGCATGTGCATGTCATTTAACAAGTCTACACGCCATTGCTGCCTCAAAACCAGAACTTGAAATGATCGAGCCTTATTTTTATCATGGTTAGCCTTGAGCTCTAGCTTTTTGGCTGTTTTGACTGTGGAGGGTATGTAGGATTTTCTTGCGTATGCACATGTATGTGTATCATGCTTCTTGTATTATTTTTAAGTGCTATCTATGGAAATTTTGGCTCTTCTATTTTGGTTCACGTAGTCGATTATATCACTGATTTGTATTCCATTCTTCCATTCTTGCTGTAGATAAAAAGATCGTACCAAAGGTGGCAAATGATGTCAAATTGATAAGTGCAGGCAAAATACTAGAGAACAGCAAGACAATTGCACAGTGCAGATCACCTTTTGGTGAACCTCCTGCCGATGGTATTACCATGCATGTCGTGGTACAACCATCATTGACTAAAACAAAAACAGGTGAGCTGGATGATGTTACTTGGTGTGGCACATTATTAACTTTCTTATGTCTCCTATTGGTCTCACTGAAGTTATAATAGATGTTTATGAAATACCATGTCTCTTGGTGCTCCAAAATGCTTTTAACTGAATGGTAGCAGACGTTCTAACATGAAAAAGGATTCAGATAAACCTAGTTGGAAAACTCCATGATAATTTTATGAAGTTCTATGTCTCATAAAGTGGTGCTGCAAAATTTTTGCAGTTTTAGTTGAGTTACCGGTCACTTGTGTTGATTTTTTTACTATTTAGATGGTAACTGAGCATTCATGGATTTGATTCATCTATAAATAAAAGAAACATATTTTTAGTTTACCATTATGTAGTATTCAAAGGTAGGATAATAATATGGCAGAACATTTTTTAAAAGATCAAGTTTTTGTTATTTGTTCATTGGCTGGTCATAGAATGATGATATGACAGCATAGAAACTGTCAAATTCACGTTTGAAACACCATTCGTGCCTTGTGATGTGAACTAGAAAAGGAAGGATTATTTTCCTGCAGTATGCCTGTCGTTGAACATCTTTTGAGATTACCAGAAATGTTTAGAAAAATAAAAAGATGAACCTGGCACACAAGGCTCCCTCCGACAAGAAGAACAATATATGCTGTTCCACTACGGCAAAGAGGCTATTTCTGTGGATTGTACCATGGCGATCCAGGTTGAAGATTTCTAGAGTCTCTTTATTCGGAAATTTTTTTAGTTGACACAACACCTAGCTGTATCTGTACCCGGTTTTTTTATTCCTTCTGACAATTCTCAGCCATTTGTGTCTGCTTTCAATCTTTTTAATATATTATGTACTGCAAAATTTTATTTGAATTCAAAAGGTTTGCAGCTTATCCGTTTTCTATAATTGAAACAGAAAAGAAGGTCGAGGAGCTGCCGAAGAAGACAGCCTGTTCTTGCTCTATATTATAGAGCAACGAGCGACTTGCAACAATAGTGTCATCCGCCATTGTGGTTCAACTGTGGTAAGAAGTGTCGATTTCTCAAAGCTGTCATCATTGTTCGATGCATGCTGTTGCACGCATCGGGTCGGTGCACGGCTGTGCAATTTATTTATCTTGGAACAAGTTGATCCGATCCTTTGCATCAAAGTCTTATACATGTTTCTATAGATCTCATTACAGACAACAGTTTTCCCCGAACATGTTTGTATATCGATTGCATTGCCTGCGAATTAATTCGATAGACCCAATGATTTCTGCTCTCTTCAAATTGGTATTGTATTGTGCACACCCGTTGGTAGGGCTATCATCTATGTTCGTGCTGGAAATGTGTTTTGGCTTCCCATTCGAGTCATAGCACATGGATTCATAAATTTTCTGTGGATTTTCTGATCTAATTCGAGCAGGTTTGATATGAAGATCGTGTTCGATTCAGTATTTTGTTAAATTGGGAGAACAAAATTAAGATGAAATGGATCGCCAACCATTCATATATATATATATATATATATATATATATAGTTTTGATAAAAATAAAAAAAATTATTTGAAAATTTGATATTTTCCTCTTTGTTAGTCATATCCGAACATAGAAACAAAGAAACAAAAACAAAAATCAAATGCGAAAACGGCCCATCGGAAGAAGGAAGTTTGGTGTGTGGCCCGAAACGATCCGCTGTTTCTGTTGCCAAAACAGTCCGAATAAAACAAAAACAAAAACAAAAAACAATACCACAAAAACACCAGCATCCCCTCGACCTTATCGCCATCATATCGCTCAAAGCCATACACAACAAAGCTGAAACCCAAACCCCTCCTCCTCCTCCTCCGTCAATGGCGGCTTCCTTCACCTCCATCGTAGAATCAGTCCCTCCCCCTTTCCATTTTCTTCAGCTTCGCCTACTCCTCACTCTCCTTTTCCCTCTTGCAGGCGATCGTGCGCCCGACGGCCGCCACCGGCGGGTCGAGAAGCTCTGGTTGCCCTCCTCTTCTGAGCCCTTCGCACGCTTCCCTGGGCCTCCGTAAGAGCCCCTGGCCGCGTCAGTTCATCTCGCCCTTCTCCATCTCACCCGCTTCCCCAGCCAAAGCCCGCTACGCCATTTCGCCTCGTGCCGAATTGAAGGTTGTAAGCTTCCAATCACTTAGGGTTTTTCGTCACTCTCCGTTTCATGACTGCTAGAATGACCCTCGTTTCCGCCATATTGGTTGCCGTTAGGTCTTTTGTGCTTCTAATCTGTTCTTCTTCCTTTGATTGCATTGCGTGGTGGAATTTTAGGAAGCTGAGGTGCAGTCGAAAGTCACCACCAAAGTGTACTTCGACATAAGTATTGGGAATCCGGTGGGGAAGGATGTGGGGAGGATTGTGATAGGGTTGTTCGGCGATGATTGCCCCCAGACCGCAGAAAATTTTCGGGCTCTTTGCACAGGTTGAAATATGCTGTACCTTTGTCCTTTTTGAGCAAAAGATTTCACCTTTACTGTGGATTTTGATTGCTTGGGCTGGAGGGAGTCGCATTTCTTGACAGTGCTGTACTTTGGTCAGGTGAGAAGGGCTTTGGGTACAAGGGTTCTGCATTTCATCGTGTCATCAAGGACTTTATGATCCAAGGAGGAGACTTCGACAAGGGAAACGTATGTGTTCTCCTTTCCTCTCCTCTTCTTCGCTGTGGCTACAGCTTCTCTATTTGAATGCACATACAAATGCAGTCAGTCGTCTGATTCAGTTTAACCTTCCAAAGTACAAGAAGGGTTTCCAAATTGTGCATATGGTCCGTAATTATGTCATGCTGTTGCGTCGGTGCCTTTGGAAAAAACTTGTAGGAGATGGTATTTTAAAATTTTATATAGTTATGATGTTCTTTTTCTAATCAAGGACATCGATTTGCACATTCTATTCCATTTTGTTGAAATGTAGAGGTTTCAATCCATACTGTTCATTTTCGGATTATTGCAGGTGTCAAATAATTGTTACAGTAGAAAGAAAATGTTTCTTACCTGAACATCTTATGTATATCGTGTTTAACTTGTGAGTTCAAATTTAAAATCACATTAGTGGGGAGGCAGAGCTGCAGAGAGTCTTTTAATGAATGCTGTGGTGTGTTTGTGCATCATACTATGAGTTCGTCAGTTGAATATCAATGCTACCACCAATGTTTAGTTGACTATGTTATTATTCATTAATCCTTGCAAACTTTATGAACTTAATTGAGCAAAAGCAAGGCCCAAGCTGAAGCATAATTTTGTGACTATGTATCCAAAAATTTTTAAGTACACAATGTCAGCAAAGGGAAACTTTCAGAAAAATGATCCTACATGAAGCCACATTCTAATATACAAAGTTCCACATGTGATAACTGAGTCGTGAGTAGATTGAAGCACTAAAATATCTTAAAACAATTTTTTTAGCATTAAATCTTACTTTTAGTGTTTGGAGTATAGAAACATCTTCCTGATGTGATCATTGACAAAAAATTGATCTAAGGCGCGAATGAAGTTCATTTGTACTGTTTTGGATAGTAAAAGAATTTGATCTTCAAATTTAAATTATATTATTTTTAAAAATAAATTTAATTCATTTCCATGTGATTCTCATGTTCTAACTGATGCTGCAATTCAATCAGTTGCTCTTTGAGTTTACTCAATTAATGTTGTGACTATGCTAGGTGAAGTAATTTAGGAGTCGAAAGGATTTATAGCCTTTTTTGTGTTATGACAATTTAGCTCTTCAGGTTATGTTGCATCATGTTTAACTTTCCATTTTTTTTGTTTGGTTGAATTTCAGGGAACTGGTGGTAAAAGCATATATGGCCGCACATTCAAAGATGAGAACTTCAAGTGTAAGTTGAATGTGGTCATCCATTTGTTGTATGTCAGTCATATTAGGTTTATAAAAATATGTTCATTAACTTTATGAAACTTGTTTAGTGTCTCATTTGGGACCTGGAGTGGTTAGTATGGCGAATGCAGGGCCCAACACCAATGGGAGCCAGTTCTTCATTTGCACTGTCAAGGTAACTTATGGAACTTGGGTTGAAACTGACCCCTAGATTTGGGATTAGCATATTGCAATTTTTTTTATCCATCTTTCCATTTAGTTCACCTTTATACTACTACCATGTTTTCTGTTTGTACAACATTGTTTGGGCAACCTACGATGCCACCAGCAACATGCTTTGATTCAGACAGATGCTTTAAGGCATTCTGGCTCTTAGCCGAGTTGCAAAACAACTTAAAAGTTCTGCAGACATCCAAATTTGATACTGTCGAGTTTTCATAAATATCATGAAGTGCAAATTCTGCACAACTTCTTTCCGGGGCATTGTCAAGAATATCACAGAAGCTGGAACATCAACAATGAACTATCCCCTTACGTTGGATCTTGATACTTCTCTCTCTCTCTCTCTCTCTTCCCCCACCCCCCTTGGACATGTTAATAATGTTGCTAGGTGCACATATTGGATCTAAAAGACCTTTATTCATGTTTGAGTTTACTTGTCATACACAATTACTTTCACTTTCTATTTATTTTTAAATTTAATCCTTCCCACATTATATAGGAGTCTATGCTTCTTGATTGTTACGAGTGAAATAATATATATACTGAAGTTACTGTGGGCACAATGAAGATACTGTAGAACACGAAATGTGATGTTATCTAAAAAACTGGGTTTTGTGCAGACACCATGGTTGGACCAGAGGCATGTTGTTTTTGGTCAAGTCTTGGAGGGGATGGATGTGGTGAGGTTGATCGAGTCGCAAGAGACCGATCGTGGTGATCGTCCCAAGAAGAGAGTCGTCATCGGCGACTGCGGTGAGCTTCCCATGGTCTAAAACATAAAAGAGGTACAGAACTTTTCTCTTCTGAAGAGGACCATATCGGCGTTTCCTTTCAAGTTTTCTGGTGTTATTTTAAAGAGGCTGTTGATCATATAGCAGGTTGACAATGTTATGCCTTGACATCTGATGAGGGGTTGGTTACCTGCTTATTTTGCCGGCTATTGTATGTGGAGGTATCTAAGCAGTGACTTAAATGATCCTTTGCTGCTTGTTCTTTGGGTTTCAAAAGTAAACTAAATGAGACTTAATAATAATTGGAAAACTGTATCGATTGTTTGGAAAAGATCATCATATGGAGAAAATTTGCCACTTGATCTGTTAACTTTGTCTCATCAGGTCATTGCTACTTCACTGAAGGTTGTTTATAGGATTGAAGTGTTGGGATTCTGAGATCCTAATCCACAAGTGCAGCAGCGACATAATAATTCAGGAGTTCTCCATGACTTCATATATATATATATACTTTCCATAAAGATTTCTTCCACTCGCACTCTATGGACAGTGAGTTCAATGAATGCAAAGAAGTTGAAAATTTGACCCAACTTTTTGAGTCGAATTCAGTTGCAAAGTCCAACTCAGAAAGTTGAATTTTCACTTTCATCGCTGACGCAAAGGTGAACTGACAACAGCCCAAACCATGGTTAGTTTGAGCCTAGCATTCATTACCGCGGTTGGGTCAACCTGACTTTTTTGACCTTTTGTTACCTCTATTTAGATCATAACTTCAATCCACCACCAACCCCAGCTGATGCCAATTATGATACACAGATGATCAAAGACATCATGTCATACATAATACACAGCAATCTTTTGAGTTTCTTTCACCAAAAATAAATATTATTACTCTATTGTTCTTCAGCTCGAGAATTCTATCAGAAATCAACAAACCTAATTCTATTTTTATTCTTCGAGAAAGACAAAGATGCAAACTACATCAACTGATTTGTTTACCATGATAAGATGGAGGTTTCAGAATCTAGACAACATATAAAAAAACAAACAAAAAAAAAACATTATGCTTAAATATTACCAGATTCGTATCATACTTTGTGTGGTCTTCTAATGTCACTATCGCTTAGTAATGTCCCACCCTTTTTCTCTCTTCTTCTTTATCTGTGTCAAAAGGAGTAAACTCAAATATAAAGAGCATTTAGTAATTCACAAACACTAACATATCTTTGATCACAGCAGCAAGCAAACTCAAATACCATCACTGCACTGACTATTACTCCTCTCTGAACCCCTTAAAATACACAGGAATTAGTTCTTCTCTTTTCTCTAGAAATAGAGAGAGAGAGAAGAGAGATGGGCATCATACACGCAATTGTTCCTGTGAGACATGCTTTATGGGCATTATTTTGCTAATTATGTCACACAAATATGAGTCCAAACAGAGTCTCTTTAGATCTCTATCCATCCATGCTTGAAAGAAAATATCACTTTCTGAAAGAAAATAATTGTCATCGTAACAGTTTCCCCACATTTGAACTGGTTAAGTTTCCATCATTAAGGATGCTGCAGAAAAATTGCGATTACTGAGTGCTATTTGGAAAAAAATAAAGACTATTTATTTCGATCATAGTTTACAGAAAGGAACTAACCTTGCATGAAACTTACAGCATTACCTCCATGAAATGGCTAAAATGAATGAGAGGCTGTTCCTTTCAAAAATTATGGATATGAGGGAACGCATCTTTTGCATCTACTTACGAATTTTAATTGGTACAGAAACGAACTAAAAGCTCGGCGAAATCGCTGATTGTTTCAACCAATGATTTATCTGGCCTGATAATAGATATCTGGCCACCGACAAATAGAAATAATGAGGATGAAAACAACCTTGAGACACCTTTAACATCCACCAAAGATCTCTATTTGCAAGACCATGCCTGTAACAAACAACAGAAATAGCAGAAATGGATTGCCTGAAATATGGAATTAATTTCTTCATGCAAGCCAGGCTTGGCAGTCCACAGTGGTCGATAATTTCCATGAGAATTTATTGAACATAGTCGACATTATCAGCAATCCTATAGCTAGATTGAAGCAAGAGATTTCCTGTGTCTTCCTAACCCAAGTTGAGAAGTGTGAGTTCAAGTGTGGTAGAAGACCCAAACTAGGACTAAAAAGTTTCATCATTTACTGTCGCAGCCCTATCGTCTTTTCTGATCTCTAAAGTCATATGTGATAAGTTTGTTCTTTCTTCATTAATGACAACGTAAACACAGGTGGTATTTTTCAACAGTTCAGCCAAACCAAGTAAAACATATTTCAAGTTCGATCTGTTCTGACTTATGATGGGTTCTTTCGATCATAAGGGATGATAAATGTGTTAGTGTAGCAACGGCAAAGCTGGTAGATTTCAGTGATGTACCAACTGGAACATACAAGGGATCAAACACTAGCAAGAGGCGACAAACGTCACATCCACTGGGCTAACTAACCTGTGGTCGACGAACGAAAAGGTTTGGTTGAAATACAAAGTTTGAACTGCTATATTTTGGCTGACCCAGAGTGACCTTACTACTTCACTCTTGTCACTGGGCACAGTTGGGTCTTCCACCTTTTTGAACAAAAAAATAAGGACAAATCATCATTTGATCTTGGACCTACAAAATATATATACCTTTCTATCATCTAGCTCTTTCTGGATCCAACTGGAGAAATTTACCTTTCTAGTTTTGGACTAATAGCAAGATATGAGTATCCGAACTAGTTCTAGCCTAATGGAATTCTTTACGATATATTACCATTGACGATAGTGAAGGCATTTTAAGGTCTAGTTCTCTGCAACCAAAGAAAAACTAGCATCCTTAGCATGATCCAACAATCAGTGGGGTCCGGGAGCAACTGTAGGATTTAGGATCGAGATTAGTGAAGATCATCCAAATCGTTGGATTTTTTCTTTATATGTGCCCTGGAATCTGCTGGGGTAGGTCAGAAGTCAGTTGAGATCAAGGGGATCAGTAGAATCAACTGCAATTGGCAGAGCTGGCGTGATCAGACTTAACTAGTTGAGAACTAGTCAAATCACCGAGATTAGATGGATCAGTTGGACAGCTTGGAATTGACTGGTTTGGTTCTATTTGACAAGTACAATGGACTGAGAGATGTTTGCAACTGTCCAACATTGAAAAAGTTTCAATTAGTCTAAAATCTTGACAAAATTTAACTGAACAATTTGCTAATTTTAGGAACAAAGAGAGACATTAATAAATTTGTTCATAGTTGCTCAAAGGTAACTGCATATGTCGTCATATATTATAGTTCCAATAACTCATAGTTCTTGGTTGGGATTAATATCTATAGAATGCTACAGCTATGAAGCTTGAAACAACAAGCTTGTTCAGATGTCAAATGGTACCCTGGTAGTCTGTATGAGAAGCTGCTCCCGATGGATAACCATAGATATGGCAGATATATCATAGAATAAGGCAAAGGATTCTGCACAGCATCAACGTTCAACTCTAGCACTTAACAACTAAAATCCTGCTAAAACACATTGACAAAGCAAGAAGACAGTTATCTATATTTTATTACAAGTTATGTAAAAGGAAACAGAAGAAAATATCAGCAGTAGGCAAAAACCAATTTTCATAATTATTAAGACAAAGGTCTCAAATAAGAAAAAGAACAGAGCAAAATGGAAATTAATGAAGGAGCAATTTCAATTTGCCATAAACCATGCAGGTGCCATTGGTTTCAGTTTTTCGTAAATTGTAAAATGCTATCAGTCTCAATCATAATAATGAAGATAAACTTCTATGAAGGGAGCACAATAGGTAGAGTGCTTCAAAGAAATACATAAAAACATATCACATTTAAAGAAACATAGAAGACAGGGATACAGAAGGGTATCTTGGCAGCTTTTGACTAGTAATCAATTAGCTGAAACTATCATGTTAGAACCATACTCACCTTTAATGACATTGGAAGTTTGACCTCCAAGGGAAAGAAGGAAATCAGGTTCTAACACTAAAATGTAGTCTCCATAAATCGATTTCTATCTCCAGCAATCTCCATAAGAGATCAGAGTTAATAGTTAGACATGTTCAACAATGACTGTCACAGAAGACAAGTGAATCGACCATCTAGCCTGACATCCTAATTCACGTCGTCAGAAAAAAAGAAAGGGGGGAAGATGATGAAATGGAGAATAGAAGCTCAACGAGACTTGATTTTGTGACAAGTTCACTGTGTTCGACAACAAAGGTTCATCCAAAGCCCCTCAAAGATTCCAAATCAATTACCTGATTGTTGTTCGTTTGCCTCCATCCCCAAATCTTCCTTAACTTCTGTAATAATCTGAAGAAGTTCAACAGGAGTTGCTGCCGGGTCCAATTCAAGGCATCCCTTCAGAGCATTATGAGCTTCTTCATCTGTAAGCAGATGAGAAGGAACCTGATGCGAAAAACGAAACATCTCTTCTCTAGAGATCCTCTTAATTTCTGTTAGGCCCATATGTCGATGGAAAACTGCTTTAAATCCAGCGACTTTCACCAATGGAATCACAGACACACCATCCTCGTCGTTATAATCATCGAGTACTTCCACCATTTCATAATTGTATATCACATCATCAGGTGTCAGCTCATTCCAATCTGGAGACCAGTTCCTATATAAGGCCCAAGTATCACCTTTCTTAGGCACAATTCTAATGACTCCTCGGGGACCTTTGTCCCATCTAACTTTATGTGAGAATATATTAACTGTATCACTTATTTGATATCTGCTCACCCTGAATTCCCCGCATGTCTTTGCAAATCCAGAGTCTATCCAGTTAATTGGTCCCAATTCACTGTTGGACTTCGAATTAAGAAAACTCATGCGGATCCTGAAAGGATTCAGAGAGAGAACTTTTTGAACCATGGCATAGAGTCGTGGCATGCCATCTTCACTGTCATACGTAGCCCATACCTGATCACCTTCAAAAGTCCTCTCCTGGCGATCCCTGTCAAAGTCATAGAAATCAGGATCAGGTACATCGATCGATACAAGTTTAAGGACTTTCTTATCCAAATTGTCATCATGGTCATGTGTTGAATCCTTATCATGGGAATCATCCAAGCAGGCCTGTTTGTCTGTATCCCCATCCATTACAACTGCTTCTTGTCCATTTTTCTGCTTTAATTTCTCTTTTTCTCCCAACTTGGTTGTTTGAGCTAAGTTCCATTCTTTTAGCTTTTCAACAACTGTTGCCTTGGCCTTCTCTACCAGCATTTGTCGAATATTAATCTGTGAAAACTCCCTAACAAAACTGTTCTGTCTTGCAGTCATTCTAGTTCTAGGAATATCCTCAAGAACACAATTAGCCTTTTGAACGTCAGGGTTAACAGTTTTCTGAACGTTTGTATGCAAATTCTCTGCCTCATCTGTTTGATGATAAATGCTGCTTTGATCACCATTGCTTCTCCTTTTTGCTGGTCTGCCAACCTTGGATATAGATCGACCCCGACCATAACCACTGACAGTGTGACCAGCATTATAATTTCCAGATTCGTCGATTGTACTCTTATAGATATGACCATCTGTCCGGAAAGACTCTTCCCTCTGAGCCGCTGCTTGTGCCTTCTCATGCTTTCTTTTCATTTTCTCAAATTTCTTGTGGTTTAGGTTTGCAGCTTGAAAAGCAGAATCTGTTGTGCTAGCAGTCCCAGCTGATCCACTGAAAGAGCTCCATTGGAAGTTCTGATGGCTATAAGAATCAAGATTTCCCCCATTCTGGGATTCTGTAGGTCCTGTTCCAGGAAAAGTGGAGGTACTGAACCCAGAACTATAGCCATTTTTTAGTGTGTAATTATGGTTTGAATTCTGTTGGTGCTGCTTGGCTGACCAAGGGATAGAAGAATTGGCTGCATTACCTGGAATTCCTATCTCAACAGCCAAGAAGGCTTGATGGCAGTTGGGACATAAAAGATTGTGATTAAGGTAAATTCTGAGGTATTCGTACTGCATCCTGCATTGTTTGCATGATGTCCAAAACGTGTTCAAATTTATTGTATGAGACTGAGAGACAGCAGATGGGCCGGAAGCATTGTTGCTCTTTCGAGCTCTTTTGTTGGAGGTCGAGGCGTTGGAAGATGAGTGGAAACCATTGGCACTACTATGAACAGAATGATCTTTGTTCTGATAGCCATTGACATTTCTGTTCTGATCATATGTCATTTTCCTTTTGTTATCAGACAACACACTCCAAGCCTCGGAAATGAGCTTGAAGGCACCTTCGGCCCCTACAGACTTGTTCTTGTCAGGGTGTAGCTGGAGAGCTAACTTCCTGTAATGTTTCCGGAGTGTCTCTTCATCTGCAAAGGCATTCACCGAGAGAATCGCGTACCAGTCACTCTCCCCATTGATCCTCTTTTCTGCTGCAAGATAAACATCCAGAGTGGCAATCATCTGGCTTATGCCATCCAGTGATGGGAAGAGATTTTGGGCCTTCAAGGCAAACTTCTTGGCACCCTTGACATCCTTTGCATTGAATTTCCTTTCCGCGGTTTCTCTTGCCTTGAGGGCCTTCTCCCTGTTACAGTCCATTCTCTACTCTTTCTACTGGCTTGCAAACGATCTTGCACGCGAAAGAAGAGAAGATATAGAAAATTTCTTTTTCCTACACTTGTACCAACAGCAACACAGAATCCTGTTTCCTCCAGCAAAATGTTCCCATATCCGCAACTGAAACAAGGAGACCGAACAGACAAGTTTACCGCACTGAAGTGATAAAAAACCCAAAAAAACAAGGCAAACGATCAATTACTCGGATTTAGAGAACCACTGCAAAAGTGGTAAATATTAAGTGTAATGTCAACTAAGAACACGTAAGATCACCCATTGGATCCTAAACCTAAAAGTAGGACAGGCGGAAACCCCAGAGAATGAAACAAAGACAGCTCAACCACACTCGAGAACTAAAAAGAGCTACCTTGGCCACCGAACAATCGAGAAACAGAAGAAAATATTCATGTCTTCTGTTGTCTGTGAAGTGAAAACACTTGAATTGTTCCAAGATCTCGACGTTTGCTAGGCAAAAGTAGATGGGCAACTATAAGAAAAGATTTACAGATTATAGAGCTCATCCGGAGCATGAATTAACGAACAGTGGCAACGAATTCCCCATTTTTGATGGATTACAAGTCTAGAAACCCTAAATGCCCTGATCGCGGGCATCAGACGAGAGAGCCGAGAGTAAAAAGGAAAAGAAAAAGAAAAAAAGGGGCAATTAAAGGAAGGAGAGATCACCAATTCTTTTCGGAGGAAATCCACGTAATTGATGGAATTATTGGATCCGAGCGGCCGCCATGAGAAGCTCTCGGTGGGGAAAATTCCCCCCACCCCCCCGAAACTTCAAAAAATTAGGGGGGAATTGAGCTCCTTGGGTCAAACCCACTCCCCTTCAGACCTAAAACAATAATCCACAAATACCAAAATGGTTATGCAAGAAAAAGGAAGAGGTCACAACAGCCCTGTGTGTGTGTATACATTCATTCTGATATCTTCTTAACCCTAACCTGACTTTTATTATTCTATTCCTCCTCACCCCCTCCACCCCCACAATCCCCTTCCCTAACTAGGGTTAATTTTTGGTCCAGGGTGTGATATGTCATTTTCATTAATTGCAGAGATTAAATGACTGTAATTAGAGGGGTGGGGGGGATTTTTTAATATAATATTAGGAATGTATAGCTGTGGCCTTATTATTATTACTAGTAAGAGAAAGTTAACACACAATAACAGAGCTGTAGTGGGTGTTTGTGAATGCTTACTATTGTTTTTCTTTATTGAGGACACTCATCATTTAATTATCTCCTTTTCTAAGGTAATAATAATAATAATAATATTATTATTATTATTTATTTTTTAAGGGTAGGGTAGGGTGGGATGGGAGTGGGGGGGGGGGGGTTTCAAACTGGCAAGTATTCCATGTGGCCCCCACATGGTGATGGGTGCTCTGAAACTTTAGGACTAGTGACCCAAGGAGTTGGGGTGAAGGGCATGGTAGAATGATGGGTGACCCATTTGCTGTTTGGATTAGTTAGGAATAGGACTGTTGGCTTGGAGGCCTTTTGTTTCCTCTCACCTCCTCATGGTGTTACTGACTTGGAGACTACACAAAAGGTCACTCATGGTACTGTTTTTAAAAGCTTAAGCAACATTATTTTTTTCATTTTCAAAAATATTTTTTTTTTTTTACAGATTTGATATCATAATTCTGGTTCAGCTTTTTGGCTGGTAGGGTAGGCAAGGTCATGCCAAGTCCCACTTGTAGCTGAAGAAGGAAAAAGAGTCTCATCTTCTTTCTGCCAGCAGCACTCAGCATTTGGTTGTTACCATTTGCTGTTTCTGCTCATTCATTTTTCTTGAGAAATGGAGATGAAGAGAACAAATCTTTTTGCAGCATGAGTCTGCATTTTCTTCAACCCAACTCACTTCCTGAAGAAAAAGAAAAAACCAATGTGAGCACAAACCAAACCTACAAGGTTCAATATTAAATATTTTATTTTTATGAGTCAAACCTTGATTGTTCATGTTGCAAAAGAACAGCTTGGTCATAATACCAAGACTGAACCCCTAGCATAACAGATTGTTGATGACTGAACACAAGTTTTACAATACAGTTGACTACTAAGAGAATAATACATTACAATCTCTGTTCTATCTGGTGCTAAATTAAGTGCCAGACACTGACAACTATGGTTTGATCCTTTGCTGCTTATACTGCTCTAATTGCTTGTGGATCCCAGAAGTCTTGATTCAGCAACCGGTCCAACTTCAAGAGGATGACACAACGATTTAGAGATTAGTAGGAGGAAGGCTTGTAGCTGGAAACTCTAGCATCCGATTCAGAGGTGTCACCACTGAAGGCTTTAATATTGAAGAGGTTGATTCAAATACTTGTGGAGGTACTGCCTGAGTATTTGAAATTGGACATTCTTCAGATGGTTTTAACATACCCTCCATTACTCCAGCAAAAACAGTCTTGAGCTCACTTAGGAAACTAGCAGACCAATAAGTTGAGACTTGAAACCTAATGACATCATGAAGACAGCAACAGTTCAAAATAAATTCAAGCCTAAAGCCATCAGTTCAATTACTTTTCACGACTGAAAAAAAAATGCACTCTTCCAACATCAATTTTAGATTTACTTCACCATAGTCATGATATTTTCTGTTGATTTCCAGTCTCGGGAAATTATGCTTTTAATCTTTGGTAGAAGCAGGTACGGTTGTAAATTGCCATCTTTCCTTCAGCATGAAATTACTGCACCAGTGACCTACTTTCATTCTACAACCAGGATCCACTCAACAAATAAAGCAAAACGATGAATACTTTGAATTCAGAATGATCGTGGAAACTTTCAGAGTGTCATAAATGCTAATAAATCTGCCATTGATCATGTAAATCTTATGCAGATTCAACCTAAAATAAGATCTGTTTACAGAGTCCACAAGATCGATCAGCCTATAAGAAAATCACAGAAGTTAAGAGTTTAAGCTTGTGCAATAAAAAATACTTTGAATTTTATCTACCTTGTTACTGTAAATAATAGAAAAAAAGACTCCACGTGGATAATTATCAATCTCAAGACGACAAAGATCTGATGATGCATGTATCTAGTTATATACAATCATATCTATCTATGACTTGGTTTCCTGTAACGGCATAATAAGTTTTAGAAGAGGACTTAGTGGTCAATCAAATAAAAAATGTTAGATTTGGTTCAGTGGTTCAATAAATGTTTTAGACTAATTATAGATTACCCCCCCTATAGTTAGACCTCTTTAATATCCCGATCCCCGGACTTCAAAAATTTACATTGAAATCCTTATAATTAAGAAAGTAAAATATTTAACCCAATTTGCTCTCATGCAATCGGCTTTACTGATTGAAAATATAGTACGTGCATGAATGATACGAAAACGATAGACAACAAAATAATTTTAACGGTGGTAGCGGACTAATTACATATTACCCCAATAGTTAAACCTCCTTAGCATCTTGATCCCTAGGCTTGAAAAATTCATATTGAAATCCCTATAATTATGAAAGTAAAACATTTTACCTCATTTACCCTAACGTCGTCGACTTTACCAATAGAAGATACAGCACGTGATAGCACGTATATAAATGACGCTGCACCACTTTGCCTCACTTGTCATCTCTTCCTCCTCTAACGCCGACACAAATGCAAAGCGGCACCGGAGGAGAAAGAGGAGGTAGAACGGCGGGACACTAATGCAGATGTCTCACCTCCGTCCTCTTCCTCCTCCGACACAGATGCCTCACCGCTATGCCTCCTCTTCCTCCTCCTCGTCGATGTTTGGATCGACATCGGCAAGGCCAACCATCACATCGTTGTCACCGACCACCACCACAATAGCCACCCACGATGCCACCGTCACCTACCACCATTGAAATTATCTTTTTGGCTATCATTTTCATGTCATTCATGATCTTCCGTCAGTAAAATCGACGATGTTAAGGTAAATAGGGTTAAATGTTTCATTTTCATAACTATAGAGATTTCGATATAATTTTTTAAAGTCTAAGGATCGAGATGCTAAAGAGGTCTAACTATAGGGGATAATCTATAATTAGCTGGCCACCACCGATGAAATTACTTTTTGATACATCGATTTCGTGCCATTGATGCACATGCTATTACGTGTTGTATCTTTCGTCGGTAAAACCGACGACGTTAAGATAAATGGGGTTAAATGTTTCACTTTCATAACTATAGGGATTTTAATGTAAAGTTTTTAAGTCTAAAGACCAGAATGCTAAAGAGATCTAACTACATAGAGTAATATATAATTCGCCCGTAGGTTTTTTTTGGGGTAAGGCATTTTCTAGATTAACAATTATGGTTTAGTTTTCAATTAATAAAATGTTTAAACTAATGTATTTTTCACGTACAAGAGCCTCATCACAAATATATTTTGTGAACCACAAGACAAACTACACCATTCATCTTTGTAGTTGTCTCACAAGATCAAACTCTATTTTTCGTAAAGGCATCAACAAATTCTGAAAAAAAAAAGTTTTCAACATATTCTGAAAAGAAGGTTTTGCTTTTATTGTTTCAATTCTGAGCACAAGAGTTATTTGCTCATTGCTTTTATTCATAGCTTCTATTGCTCGGCATTATTACTTTCTAATATGATTTTCTAAAGAGCAAATCAGCATCTTGGATGTTTTTATAGAATCACAAATTTAGAAACTGGAATACTAAACCAAAGCAACAAAAAAATTCCCAAAACAATATCTGAATGATAATCGAAAGACCTTAAGATGGTAGTCATTTCCATATCAATGACTAGAAATCAAAAAATATGGGAGCATATATCCTGTAGTTACGATCTTTCATCACTTAAAAGTCCCCTTTTAGTAGGCAAAGAATTTAGACTTAAGATATCAAAATTTCAATTCTTTATCAGTACAGGCTTTCTTCAGTCAATTTAATGAGAGAAGTAGGAAATAGTATCAGACATACTAACAATAAAGCCATCTCCTTCCTCTTACAAATATGGAATGAGCAGTCTAACACCTGCAGTTTCGAAGTTACATTCTTGCTTCTTATAATTCTGAAGTCCACAAAGGGAAAAAAAAAATCTTCCTTCATACTTACTAGGTCTTTCTTAATTATTGACATAACTAGCATAAGAATGACAGATATGTTCCAAGAAATCAACTCAGATTTCTGTACCCTCTTTGAGATGACATGAAAATTTTCATTGCCAAGAAATTGACTAACTCAAGATTTTTGTAATGATGTTAGACATACAACTTAAGCCTTAAGCAGGAATACCATTCATTTAAGTAGATGGTATATAGTTCCTCGAAGTTTTGATTGATTTACTGAGAGTGTAACCATCATACAAAAGGCCCAAAGCCCTTGCTCAAGAAATGCTATTCAATTAACCTGGTGTGCCGAATAACATCAATGTTCTTATACAGAGATCAATCTGATTCAAAATCTGGAACATGCCAACCCAATTCTTCTCTTATTCTGTTATTTCGTCCAATTTGTCCTAAGTCATAAATGAGTAAAATATGTGACTTTTGATGCCATTAATCCATAAGCAATGACATTTCCTTTACCAGTAACTCCATAATATCAAGCCCAAATTTTCCATCAAACTCTGCTTGTAAAAATTGAACTGATATACTCAAACAAGAATGTCAACCTGCTTCTGTTGTATACCATAAATAGTGCAAATGGTGGGCTAAAGGAAGTATTACTTGATAATGGTGTACAATATGTGGAGATTATGGAATCAGCTAAACGATATAGTCATTTTGTTAGCAATCTTAATATCGTAATTGCAAGTAGGTTCTGCATTAAAAAGAAAAGATCTGCTAATAAGTCTGTCGGAACCCCTTTTGAGAATAAAGTTTTTGAACTCTGGGTATATGTGAAAAGTCATGGGCTAGCGAGTGTTCACAATATGTGAAAAGTCATGGGCTTAGTTGAATAATCTAGTTTGCGGACCAGCAAACTCAATCTTTCTGCTGCAAATAAATTTGCATCAAAAGAATGATATGAAACTACATGTCAGGCTTCTTAATGAGAAAGATATGAAAGAAAAATGAGTACTCCTTAATAAGTAATGTGTGGCGATAATTATAAAAAGAGCTATATGATGTCACATAAATAAAACTTACATGTGTAGAAGGATTATGAGATGAAGCAGTGGATGTTACTAGCAAGGCTAAAACAGGTGGTACTCGAATGATTCAAGACAGAGGTTACCTGGCCAATTTTGGAGAGAACGTCTCCTTCCACCTCCTTGAGCTTGACTTTGTGCTCCCCTTCCTGCAAAAGCCTGATGGAGATGGGAAGCCCCATATCGAACGAGACCTATGAAATCAATTTTAACAATGGTTTCACCAAATTAAATGCTTAAAATTAAGCTGAATACTGCTTGTCTTCATCTATGTTTTCTCAAGGTTTCAAACATCCATTCGTACATCCAGATTCTAATAGTAACTCATATCATTCTTCTCTTGTCGAATGAAGTCAATTACTGACGTTATAATGAAGTAAAGATTCAAATATTCAAATGCCGTGTTATTAAATACTTCGGTGTTGCTTTGAAAGAACATGAAACGTAGATTGATAAATGACTGCCGACATCCTTCGATTGGATTGATCGGATGCTCATCACGAAAGACGAAGAGGATGAGCTCCACCACAGGATGTGGACAAGCAAACATCATCGTCACATGGCTGCGTCCTCGCCTTGTCCTCTCAGCGTCGATAAGTCGAAAATCTAACGGAAAGGACAGAGGAAAGAAGGATACGTTACAGTGCTACAGCCACTGACGCACGCTTCTGCCGCCACCTGTAGCGGAAGCCAGAAGAGCACGTTGTTCTCGACAACCGCCCAACCACTACCTGGCGAAGTGCCCCTCTCCATCTCCCTTACTTTCTCCTCCCCTTTCGCTTGCTCCTTCCTCTCCTCCGAGGCCTTCTTCCCTACAGACACAGTGGTGTGAGATAGATTAATAAGGAGAGAGAGAGAGAGAGAGAGGATGGCGGATTGGGGGCCGGTGGTGATAGCCGTGGTGCTGTTCGTGCTGCTGTCGCCGGGGCTGCTGTTCCAGATACCAGGGAAGAGCGGGAGGGTGGTGGAGTTCGGCAACTTCCACACCAGCGGCATCTCCATACTCGTCCACGCCATCATCTATTTCGCTCTCATCACCATCTTCCTCATCGCCATCGGCGTCCACATCTACACCGGCTAAAGCAACCATTTTTAACCTATATATGTGTAATACGTTGGATCAGACCAGTGAGTTTATTTATGCTTCCATGTTTAATCTGACATCGTCTCAGAAGTTTATTTCTCAGCTATTGTGAGATATTATTTGGCTTTGGTGTGTATATATTAGCCTGCTTATCTCTTACCACCATATCCAGTAGAGATTCTTATCTCGGCCATGCTATGGTCTTTCTTCGTCGAGGCATTTCTTACCAAAAAGGATGCAAATAACACAGATCTATCATTCCAACGAGAAGGAATAAAAGTGTTGCAGACATTTCTCGAAGAATTTTTCTTTTTTCTAAGAAGAAATAGGAAAATAGAACTTAGTATCCGATGCTAGCAATGTCAGAAGAACAAAATTTGAGCTATTAATTACGTCAGTTTAGCAAATACTTGGAATAAAGAGCTCTACCTCAAGGAAAAGACAAGTAGACTCGTTGATTCCTCTCGTCATCGTAGCAGCTCGCGTGCGTTCTGAAACAAGAAAAGAGACGGATGATAAGCCAGCAAACGAGCTGCAATTAGAAGCAGCCTCCCGGTAGCCAAGACGACAACAGTGCGGTATCATATGATCCCTCAAAGATCACTTTGTTGTGTCATCAAGTGTTGGAAAGATTGACAAGCCATTGTAAAAACTCGAAGAAATCAAAGAGTTGTGACTTGGCTTCATCTACATCAACAAAGCATATTTGGATGGATCGATCGGACAAAGGGATAAGAATGAGTTCGGTACCTCAGTCGATAGTCATTGTGATCGGGCCATGGCGTGGGAGTCTTGCACTCTTGGCATGACCATGCTGGAGGTTGCATCCACATGGCGGTAGTGTCGGTTCATGTCACAAATAATCTTATATTTCCGACAAGCTGAGCTTGAGACATCGATCATGTCTCAGTCCTAAAGGTTGGATTCCGTTGACCATGACTATCAATCCACTAGCTGAAGTGGGATTGGAAGTCGATGCTTTGGGACAAAGAAAAATGACTTGACCCACTTCCATTAAGAAGACTAGACAATGTCTCCAAGGAACAATAAGGAAGAACAACAAGATTTATATTGGCGCTTGCCTGCAATAACCAAGTGGCATGGTGATCGGTAGGAACAGCCTCATTTTTCTGATTCCTGCAAAAAATCTGAGAAGTATTAGAACCAGTTCGAAATAATCCAAACATTTGGGAGGCGGAGTGGAAGGCCTTATCATCGTAAAAAAGATTCAACCTTTACACATCAAAAGCAAATTCAATGGACATATATCTCTCGGTCATCAAGATTACAAAGTGTAGCAAATAGCTCATAGTTATCTTATCGGACTACAATAAATGGTGGAAACTTTTTCATGACAAAGAAACATGATACTAGAAGTATCAAGACAACCTCCTGCGATATATCAAGCAATAAAGCAAATAAAAAGCAAGAGTGGATAAAGTTTTGGAATGATTCTCAGGTTATTCACTTGTCTTGGGGCAAAAGGATCATTGGTCTGTCCAAAATTAAAAAGATGTGGTCCTTCTCTTTACTGAATTATTCTACAGGAAACGGACATCAATCTTATCAGTTGGGGATCCTCACTTAAATCTTTGGGACCCAGGATAAATAAGATTCACCAATAATGAAGCAAAGTAGATGAATGATTAGCAGAAGATATCCTCGTTAAAGCAATAATACTCAAAACTAAAGCAAAGTAGACTGATTAGCAGAAGATATCCTCGTTAAAGCAGTTATAATCAAAACTACCAAACATATGGATACAGATGGTCACAATAATATCAGTATAGGTAGCACAACACATAAAAGTGAGACAAGCAAGTTGTAGTGCCTTCCAATCGCTTTCCAAGAACATAGAGCACTTGCTGTCACTCAGCAACCAATTCAACAAAGTTTGCAACATTATCGTGCAACAAAATCATGTACACTTTAGCTCAAATATGACTCCTCCATCTGCTATAGGAACTGCATATTCTTCTTCGGTAGTAGATATTTTACCCTTCCTTTTCTTTTGCACAAGATATTTTAATCAGGAAAGATATGGTGTATCTGACTGTCCACCTTATCAGGAACTTTTTACAACACAGATGCTATTATAAATAGTGCTACAGAAGATACAAGCAACCAAGCGAAGAGCTTAGTTAGAATACCTTCAAAAAGAAAGAAAAAAAAGTGCTTAATCAGGAAATGGAGTCTGGCCGCAAGCGTAGAGTGTCCAAAGGTAAGTTCATATCCTTCTATAGAGCACCAAAGCCCTCAGTGCAATATGCTAATAAGATCATCCCTACTCCAACTATCCCAACTGCCTCGCTGGGTTACCTCGTGCAAGATCAGTCTGTCATGCCATCAACCAAGCCAAAGGCTTCTTCCTTGGTCAAAAAGGAAGGAATAGGCAACTCGGGTAGCTATAATGACGCAGCCAACAGCATAGATACCATCAGTGAGGTAGATAGGAAAGCTGCAAACTTCATTGCCTATGTTCAAGAACGATTCAAGCTCGAGCGAATTGATGAGGACTGGGGGAACTATTAGTAGGTGCACCAAAGAAGGTTCACTGCAACTGGATGTAGTTATCAGGTAGCTCATTCGACTTGTTTTACTACTGATAGTCCTACTAGAAGTAATAAGATGATGCTGTAAGCAGTAGTTGTGAGGGAAAACAATAGGCTCTGTTTACATTTGTTACAGCTGAGTAGCCTGAAACAGAGTGAAATTTCATGTAACCTTATTGCATAATAACATCTTGTATATTTTGAGCAATCATTCTCTCCCACTGTGAATGATCATCATAGAAGGTAGGACTCAGATCTGGCTTGTGTCAGACTCTACTAGTATGTAAAATAACCTTCCTTCCTTTTCTTTAAGCCGCACAATAGTTGGTAGATGGAAGGCAAAGGACATGTTCGATATACAGGCTGATTCTTGACAGACCATATACAGTGGTTATCAAAAGACAACTACACAAGATTGGACAGAGTCTAGAGATAAGTATTCATTTTGTTCTGGTGGACCAAACAAAGAATTCCAACTTTTCCTAAGCATGCTTTGGCCACAGAATTGTGTTAACTGTTTCTTGTCAAGATGGGTTGAGATGGATGACAAAAAGGAGCTCCAGGTTTTCCAAAATTTCATAATTTATACCATAAAAATAAATTTTTGACAGTGGATGAGCAAATGTTGATTAAAAGAAAGCAATTGAACATAAACTTATATGTGTACATGTATCTTCACCTGAACATTATATATACACACACAAAAAAGAAAAGAAGTAACATTTTTAACATGAGCAGTATTTTTAAACTTGAATATTTTTCTCCGCAATCGTGGAGACTAAAGTGTAAAAGAAAAACATAAGAAGCCCTCTCTTCCCTTAATTTTACTTGGCTAGGATCTTATCACCATCTTTAGGGGGTGGTATCAGGATGACAGCCTTGAATCTTCCATGAAAACTAATGATGAATACTTCCTATCTTGAAAGTCAATGCAGTGTTCGGCCTTCTCTTGTTTTACATATCGATTATATAATTCTCTGCATCTACATACTCTAATTAAGAAAATTTTACGATAGTTCACAACCTTCTAAGAATCGAAACTGTAATATTATGTTACAACGAAGAAGGAAATGTCGCAAATGTTAAACCTCCCCTAGAATTCCTTTAATCCCTAATTAGGAAGCAATTAGCAACTGAGAACCTAATTTACCCCTGCCGAAAGAGAACAGCATCCTTGAAACCAGCAAGCTCTTCTAATTTTCTATCAAACCCTAAAAACAGAATGATCTAACAAATTATAATATAATACTACTCCAAGAGGTAACGAAACTTATCCATAATCAAAACATCATAGGATGTTCTCGAACGCTATACAAGGCAAACAAGAAGAAATGAAGCAATTTAACAGAAAATATGGAGTGTTCAAGGTGCTAAGAAGGGTTTCGGAGCACTGACGTTGACATCGGGGTTCTCGGATTGGCCGAGGAGGGAGACGTCGACGATGCGGAGGAGCGGCGGTGGAAGGCTTAAGGAGATCTCGATTGCTGGTGCACCGAAGACAGCGTTGCTCCTGGATCTCGATGAACTCGAGCTGTCACTGCAGGGGCATGAGGAGCCCGTATATGCCGTCCTCGCCTTCGGGGAGGGACGGAGGAAGGAGGTAAGGGCTTTGCGTCCTCGGCCATGGCCGCCATAGCCGAAGCTTCGGTAGAGGCTACGAGTGTAAATAGAAGTAAATAAAAGGTTTTCCCGCGTACGGGGAGCGGGGGAGATCAGCGAAGCGGACTCGGGTTGGCTCACCGAGTTAGCGACTCAGCTAGCTCGCTGAGCGGCCTCTGGTCGACAGATCGGCTGGGCCTCGTGCTTTCATTGGGTTGAGCACATGGAGGGCACGTGAGTCGTCTTCTATCGGTTTGCTTCTCCACTTCGCACTTGCATTGCAATATCGAAATTGGAAAAAGAAAAACCGAAAAAAAGGAGGAAAAACAAAAAAACCAGAAAGCATCAAGCCATAAAATCCCAATATTCTCAATTTGTTTATTATCATGTAGTAAATTGATTTTTGTGTATTTATAATATTGCTTGTAGCTCGATTACTTTGGTTGTAGTTTTATGATAGCCAGGTTCAGTGTATACCTGCTTATACAATCCATGTTCATATATATCAAATAATAAATAAAACTAGCTTCATGTGTGACAAATAATATATCAAAACCTTTGGATTCACCTCATAAGTAACACATCATGCCAAAAAATAAAAATTACGATAACTACTCACACAATAATTAAACAAGAGAGACAACAAAGTCATAGATATCTGATTTGGTATGGAGCCACTCAAAGCCTTTGTGAACATAATGTTCTCTTTTAATATAAAATCCACTTAAAGAGAAGAGTTTCTTAACCAATTACTTGCAAAAAATCTATACACTACAAAAATTTTGGTGCCCGGTTTGGATTATGATATTTAAAGCACTACAATTTTTTAACATGTGTAGTAAATATCATCATCATCCCGAAACATGCGGGAGTTATTTGGGGAACCAAGATATATGGCCAATCATCAGGTCGTACCACTGCGGGTTCTTGAAAGAATACCAATGCTTGGCAGCTTCCACAAAGACCGAGTAGAACTTGGTGCAGTACTGTTTGGTTCGTCCGTAGACTTCCACATGGACCAACTGGAATTCGGAGCGGTGCTGTTTGGTTCTTCGGTAGTACTGTTTGAAACTTTAGAGGTACTTCCTGATGTCATATTTGATTTGAAGCTTCCCAGTCTAGTTGCATTTGAAATCTCCTGCAGCTCCTGAAAAAATAAACATCAGAGGATAAGGTACGTAGATCACTTATCCACATAATGTTAACATGAGCACAGTCAACTTGGACTGCTTATATGACCATTTCTCTTGATAGAAAAAAAAAATCAATATGCAGGAAATGGGATTGATAATACAGTTACAGATATCAACTTAGAAGGACACAAAGGCGGAGTCTTTAGTTCTGCCTGATGAAATAAAATGATTGACCAGGATCAGTGCCTGCTAGTTCCAATTAGAAATCAAGTTCAAAACACTGAAATGGCTGATCACAACCTGGAATTTTTTTTGCATTTTGCTAAAGAAACCAGAAATAACTTGTACCTTTTAGTTAGTGCCATTCTGGACCATAAAGGCTGCATCTAGTTATTGGGCTTATATCACAAATTACCAATACCACTACACTATATGCTTTATTAAAGAATTAAGTACAACGCCATTCTATACAAAACAAACAGTGCAAAACCACCTGAATATATAACCAGATCTAAATCACAGCGATCTTCCCTCCTAAGAATTTTACAAAAAGGAAAGATAGGCGAATCAAGAACAACACAGAATTCGCAAACCTTTAGGCCTGAAGCCGATACAGCAGTTGATGATCGCAGAACCTGAGAACCACAAGTTTAGTAAAATATAGACACCATATTGTTATATGTTCGAGAATTCACAAAAGTCAAAGGTTAATTCCCAAAATGCTCACCCTGGGACTCTCAATAGCAATGGATGGTGATGCTGATGCTGATGATGAAGGTGATTCTACTGGTAAAGGTGGTAACGAACTTGTCTGTCTTGAGATAACTGTGCATTAGTAAATACGAATAGGCAAAAAATAAAACGCAATCCAAAAAACACAGTAAGAAGCCCACCCTTGTCACCACCAGAGAAGTTTGTGGAGGTTCAAGTAATCGCTGAGAACTGGATGGTGAGTCCTGCAAATTGAAGGGTTTGTCCAAAATCATTACTGAAATTAATACTTCAACTAAAAGCAACTTGGGAGGGGAGCATGCACATGATACAATAGCATCCTGGCATGTGGTCAGGAGATACGAGGAGAAGCCAAGCTGACACGAGTCACCAATGAAAAAACTACTGACAGATTATGATAATCATATAAAGTGGTCATTCAAGAATTAAAAGAAAGTTCAACTTCTGAATCATTGTATCTTCCTTTTCTTGCCAATCTTTCTTTAAGAAGCCAATTGGCACTTATGTATGAATTACTAATCAATATGGTAAAAAAGAAAATCAACCAGGTAAAAAAAATGCCATTGCCAAACTCAATTATAGTTAATTCCTGAAGATGCCAGGCTAAAGAGTGACAAATAACAAACAATGAAAGCAAATAAGAGTAACCAAATTTGGCTTGCCTGAATAAGTTCCCTACTTTTGGCCCCTTCCAATTTCTCAACAAACTGACAAAGGTGATAGACTCCCCTGGTTGCAAAGTCCTAACATGGAGTTTACTAACAGTGACAATCAAAATTACAAATGAAAAACAAACAGATGAAACAGAGAAAAAAAATTATATTACCTGACTTCCTTCTATTCGACCAATCTTTGTCTCCTGATGCACAATAAAGATTGGAATCAGCATATACTCTTATAGAAGCCTTATTTTCTTCAAGTGTCAGATAGTTATAGAGTTGATAAATGCAAATTCAACACAAATCACCAGAGTCTGGACAGCACGGTGAACGGATTCAACTTCAGCATGGAACAAAGTTAAATCCCCATGTAGCTGTGAGACCTACATGTGCATTTAGAAACAAAATCATGCAGTTTGGTCAATGCATTTCAAAGGATAACAAAAAACAAATACAGAAATGTAGAGCCTCACCTCAAATTTGGTAGCAGCAGCAATCTCCTTACATTCCTCCACATTATTATCTACGAGGTCAATCCTTGAAGATAGTTGTTTCTTGGCTGTCTGAAAATCAGCAGACCATGAAATTAAGACAAGAGAAGAAGAAAAATTAAAAAGATGAGAAGCTTTCTGTTTTTTTTTAATATTTTTTTGGTGATTGCTGTGGTTCAGGTATGAAAGAACAACAATAGTAATAGCAATAAAAATAAAGAGTAAATTCAAATTACAACTCAAAGACTTGGTAAAAGGGAAAAAAAGATAATATGACGATCATTTGATAATAAAAAAACCACAAATGGCAAGAAAGAAACAGTATAGAGAACTCAAAAATATTTGGGCTGGTGGCGAATTGTTGTAGCTTCATTATGCTTGAGTCAAAGATTATCATCAAAGAAAATGACTTGAAATAAAATATGCAGTTTAATAAAAATAGTTGAAGCAAAGTTGGGTTTTAAGAGCTCAACTTTTAAAAGTTATCTCAATATTGGATTGCAAAAGTGATTAAAAAAAAGACAACAATGCTCTAGGCCTCTAACTACTATCAATAACCAAAACAGAATGAATTTATGAAAAATTCAACTAAAAAATATGACTATAAACTCTATTTAAGATAACAAAGATAGCAACCAACAATGCAGACAAGGTGTTCGTCGCTTGTCCATGACGGTTTTAGGCTTTTATTTTCTGCTGTTTTCTTTGTGTTTTCAGTGTTTTCTTTATGGCAAATTGTACGGGAGAGAAAACACTATAGTCGACCCCATTTTTGTTTGTTGTCAGTGTTTTTATGTTTTTGTTTCCTATTTTCATCATGTAAAAATCAGAAGCGTTTCTAGCTGTGCGGCTCCACGAAAAGGAAAAAATGGCTCAAAACTATACTGTTCTCACGTGCCACGAGCTGATTTCTAGCTGACAGTCTAGTGGTGTGAAACGTCTAACATCTCAGCACCTTGGAATCCCCCAAGTGGCACTAGGGCGGATGGGGTTTTGGGTAGGTGTTTGAGGGGTGATGCAACGTCTTTTGTGTGCTCATTTTCTGTTCGAAAGTGCTAGGTGAATATTTGGCCTGCATCTACCTTCGAAACCCCTTTTGTGTGCGCTAATTCAAACCGTTTTCTCCGTTCGGGCCTAATAAATGTTGATTGCTGTGTTACTTTGGATCCCACTTATCTTGCCATTTTCATGTGCAACGACGACAAATTACCTACACGTTCACCTTTCTAACCTTTTCTTCATTGTGCAGGTCATTTATGGACTGCACAAGGTCTAGGCTGACCCTTGCGGACGCATATCACTTGTGTGTCACATACCTTAGGCAATTCCAGCTAAAGACATGACAATGTGTTGGTACACCGGTAGATTGGTAAGTACCAACTCAACAAATCCCAAAGACGCATCCGGTACTCGAAATGGCAAACCTTGACTCTAACTACTATCAATAACCAAAACAGAATGAATTTATGAAAAATGCAACTAAAAAATATGACTACAAACTCTATTTAAGATAGCAACCAACAATATGGACAAAGTTATATCAGAAATTTTAAAAAAGAAAAAGAACATGTGACTAGGACAAGCCAACTAAAAACCCACACAAGGATTGCTCTCGGGTTCAACCTCTTTGTGCCATGGTGATTGTGGCAAGGATCAACAATGTCAAAATGATCTCAATGATCGAAAGTTGTCAGGGGATTGGAGAGAAGTACTATGAAGGAAAAATATCACCTATTTTATGCACTTAGTATAGAGACTAAAGAACCTTCAAGATCATGATTCTAGAACTTTTCATTACCTTGGTTATACTTAGCTGTACTTCCAATCCAATCCCACAGTTGAAAAGGTAATTTGAACTGAAACAACTTGGCTCAAAAAAAAAGAAAACGCACCAAGTTATTTCTCGCTTTATAGTGCAAACCAACCTTGCTACACTAAAGTTCCATTTAGTTTTTCATGACTGGAACCTAAATTGACTTTGAGTCTCAAGATCACTCACCCAAGTGCAACTTATTTTTGTGTTTTAACAGGTTCCAGGCGAAAATTTGTCACCTTTAGATAAAGTATATGTTATATATTCTGCACATGCCATGAGGGCTCAAATTTGTCCCTGAATATGTTGGACAACAGAAGGGAATTTCATTTTGTTGCACTGAATTATTTGATTAAGGAGAAAGACCAATCCTCTTCACAACTTTCTTAACTTAAAGCAAGTAGGAATGAGAAAGCAGTGATTAAGAAATATTATATCGACTTTCAAGAATCAAGTCAAGAATAAACTTTAATAACGAAAAAGATAACATACTGTAATAGACGATGAAACTAGCTCCAGTTGCTTGCCTACTCGAGTGCAAGCATCAGAAAAGCCGCGTCGTGTCACAAACATCATATCCGAAAGTTTCCATCCCTATGAGATGCAAATATTAGCATTTAGTTTTGCAAGGTTAGATAAGTTTCTGACACTACAAGGAAATTTTTAAAAAATTTACAAAATTCTTTTGTAACACATATAATAACCACTCTGACAACTGACAGGATTACACTATTAATACAACAGATAACTCTGATAGAAAGCATAATCGTCCTGCGCAACAGTCAACTTGCTCACTATGTGGTACTTCTGTATGTTACTTTTCATGCTTCAAGAAACATGGATGCACAAGTATCATATGGTTTTTCAGGTGAAACGTAGCAATAATCTAAAATCTCTGAATTGTTTAACAAATGTATTCACAAAAGGCTTTAACTGAATGCAAATCAGTGTCTCACAGCAACCATATAATCTCATATGCAACAATCAAAACCTAGAGTTAGTATTTCGATTATTTGACTTTGGCATTATGAATCTGCAATATAACTGCTCTATGAATCATCACCATTTTCAGATTCTATAGACAATTTCAGATACATTTTATTTTCTATTAGGGCTACTAATGATCCTCCTTCCATTGCCTTTTGATTCTAATTTATCAATATAAACCACAACCTCATTTGTTTGATCAAACTACACACAATCATGCTCTTCTATGCTTGCTTTTATTTCTTAACCCTTACAACACATGGATTATAGAAATGTCTTCAAAATCAAGTTACAATGGACGCCCTTCGAAAAAGCATCACTGCTACTCCAATAAACACAGTTGTTTAATTCTTTTCTTTAGCTAAAACTTCTAATTTCTTAGGTAGTGAACATGATCGAGTACCTTCCACCATATAAAAACATATCCAAGAGCTCCAATGACAATAACAGCTGATACACCATATCTTCCAGAACCTGCAGTTGATATTTGAAAGATTAATAGGATTGTCAAAATTCCATGAGCAAAAGGGAAGCTTAATAGCTTGACCATATTATACAGCAGAAAATCATGTAACAGCAAGGCATTTAAGATTAACGGCCAGCTTTCAGTAATAGAACCCATCAGAATCTTAGTTAACAAAATAAAACATGCCAATTTCACAAAGGATAAAAATGATCATCCCCATTTTTTTCTTAAGTAGAGGTATCAGACAACTGGATCCAGTCAGCCAGGAAATCATTAATTTAACTGGCCTCAGAATGTTGATACACAACTTGTACAGATGGACTAGATCAAAAAACTATTCCATCATCCTAGATCTTTAGTTCATTAGATATAATGACAATGTTATCAGGTTTTCTATGTCAAATAAATTTTGTAAAAATTTCTAACTACGATCAACCTAATAAATCATTCAATTACCACTACATCTTTTTATTGGGGTGGATAGGCATTTGGGTGTGATTGTGGAGTCAGGTGGGATGGCATTGAAAATCTATCCTTCAATTGGCTTTTGATTGTTGCCTAGACCACTCCATATGGAACTAACTACTTTCCCTAGAGGATCCATTATTTGCAACTATGAAAACACATGGGCTGAAGTGTATATTTATTATTTTCAAATACTTGAGGCTATTGATGGCAATCTTGTGGTATGCTGCCCTGTTTGGGCATTTAATACTGGTCTAACCAAGGTCCGGGTGTTGGACCACGCCAGAGGGGATGGTAATACTACTGAATTTAGTTTGAATGGCGAGATCTAATAGTTCTGGAGTAATTGGATCTGGCAGACTGATACAAACCTAATCAAAGGTTTGTGAATGGATGTTGTCACAGAAGATGAGACACGTTGCAAATTCTCCTTTTGAGACATTAGCAGGAAGCATCTCTCAGTTACCTATTTTGAAAACACTAGTATGCGGCCCTGAAAGCCAGAGATGAGGAGGAAAGGAGGATTGCTTCAGCAATGGAAGATAAGGAAGAGAGGAAAAAGAATAGAAAGAGGAGAAAGCCAAGAGGCATGCCTCCCTTCTTCTTTTTTTTTGTATTTCATACAGTTTTGTCCAATTTTGTTACCTTTTATTCTTTCTTTTCTTTTCACTGGTTTAGTCCCAGCCAGTATAACACCTGATACTCTGGTATGCAAACCAATTAGAAAACAATATCGGTCTGGTAATTGCAATCCAAGCTCAAGGCCATACAACAACAGGATAGAAAGCTATCATTTTTAATGATTAAACAATTAAAAAAAGTCTTCATAGAATTCCACTCAAAAGAAATATTGAAAGACTTGTAGCAGCCTTGTTCCATTTAAGACTAGATGAGGTTCCAAGCAAACTTCGTGCCTCTAGTTTCCCAAATTTGAAGTGGAAGGTAACCTTTTAAAAATTCAAGAAGGCATGTAACTGAGGATTACACTAGGAACTTGAAGATTTTTCAATCTTAAAGGTGTTTGTGTCTGGAAAAATTGAATTCCAAGCTTAGATGATGCCAAATTGGTGACTTTGCTAAATACTAGAAGCAAAAAATGAACAATATGTCAGAATTTAACACTGTTCTCTCACAAAAGTCAAAACCACATGATACATAAAGCATTCATACAGTGCAGTCTACCTTATACTAATTTTAAAGGAATGATCAACATGAAACTACATATCCATGTTAAAATCCTCTTACTAATATCACACTCGAACAAGCAATAGTTTATGATGGACAGGGAAGAATATCTCGAACCTGATTTTCCACCAGTCACGATTGTAACTGATCTTGATGATGCCAACAGTTGCAGCTCATGCCGAAGAGTATTAACCTGAAAATATTAAAATACCATCAACATGACTGTATCCTCATAAAGGACTGAAAACAGTAGTTACAAAAAAGAAACAAGCGGTCATGGTCATTTGGACAACATCCTTTAAAATTAGTAACCTGAGCTAACAGAGAATTACAAGAGTGACACACTAACCTGAGCTAACAGAGAATCAGTTTGAGGTTTGCTAGAGGACTGAGAGTTGTCTTTTTCTTGTTGTAGGTGCTTTGTGACAATCTGCACAATTAGTATTTTGATCATTAGGAAAGGAATAGCTAATTGGTTCCCATTAATCGCTTAACAAAACATAAAAATAAATCATGATAGACAATGGCAAATATTGATTTGTCAATAATAAGCAAATACAATGACTTTTAGGAATGATACCCTGAAAGCACCAGAAAAAAGGTGTGTAATATCAGGTAGACCACCATCCTTAGTGAGCACAGACCCAATTATACCTGCAAGACAATCAGTTCAAATTAGTTCATAATAATAGAACAAACCAAAGAAAATTGAACAATTTCCTAAAAACTTTCTTATGTCTTCTTTTCAGTGTAGTAAAAAAATCTCTGCTCCAAGAATTAAATTAATAACACCTACATATCATGTGCAATGGAAGCAAAGAGATAAAATAGAGTGATAATTTATACAATGGAATTAGAAGTAATGACTGTACACTTTTGAACATTGATGTGAGTCAAGGTAGCTTGATAGGTGAGTAAATGTTGCCCTAGTCTACGTTAGGCCCCAAATATGCTGGAAAATTTGCAATACAGAAAAAAGTAGTTGACAGGATTTTGCAAAAGATAGAAAGTTGAAGATAAGAGATTGGAAGAAAGCTACGGAGAAAACATCAGAAGCAGGAAAAAAACATAAGAGAAGAAAAAGAAAGTATTTTCTATCCACACATGCAAAGCACACAAACCAATGGTAGTTTATCTTGAGATCATCTTTTAGAAAGCAAAATCTAGGTATTTAAACCACAAAGCTAAGCTATTAGCACAAGTAGGACTGAAATTAATAAGAAAAGAATTTCTAGCAATATTAACTTGCAAACAAACCTTCCTTCCAAGAAAAAAGAACAGAAAATTAACAGAGTGGTTCCGATTGCTAATCTATCTGGTAAATTATATTGATTTACAGAATACATAGTAAGTTTTAAGTCCTATAGACTATGGCTTGTATTAATTAATTAGTTATTTCCTTTTTCCATCTCTCTTATTCTTCTTTTGGAGATTTTCTTTCTTACTCGAACTGCAGAGAAACAGAAAATACTTTGATAGAAGATCTCTAAGAGTTTATCCCGCCCTTATGATCCATCAATGCAATTTCCAGTGCTCTATTGCCAATTTTTCAGTTAGAAAGGACCTAATAATGCACTTTTAAACGCACTATTGCCAAGTGTTCGATCAAGAGCTCTACAACGCAATTGCAAAGGCTATCACATATTACAGGGAACCAAAATCAACTTGCCAATGTAAAATTCCTCACGATAACGATAACAGCACTGTGAAACTCTTCGACAAAACAACGAAGGTGAAGATAAAAGTATATCAATATCCCATTCGATCCTATAACCAAAACCCTAGGATTAATCCCTTGGAAATAACATCAAACCCTATATTCCGCGGGTGAGAGAGAGTCCCATACCCGCTCCGATAACGATAGTGAGCTTCCCGAGCACCATGGCGAATCGAAATCCTCACAGAACTACAGAGGACTCCTCCAACATCTCTTGCTCCACTCGAATGGTCGAAAGCGATTCGTACAGATCGAGGGTTAGGGTTTTACACTCGAATCGCTCGTGATCCCCTTCGCCGCCCTCACCAACGCCTACCTCGTGCAACGAGCGTAGAGAAGCCCTCCGCCGTGAGCGAGACCAATTAACGCTCGGGTTAAAGTAAATGCTCATCCTTCCAAATAAGAATCACCAAAATGCCACAATGGTTACACGAAATTTGATGTCTCATGAACTAATACAAACCGTTAGATCACGGGGGGTAGAAATGATAAGAAGAGGGAGAGCGTTGGTGAGCGGAGAGTAGTCGAATCTGCCCGTAGAGCGAATCCTGGGCGTCCATCGAGGTCAGCAACAAAGGCCACACGAGATTTGATGTCTCATGGGCTAATATAAACCGTTAGATCATCGAGGGTTGTCCGAATTCGACTAGATCGGCCGTCGAATCTGCCCGGTAGAGCGAATCCTGAGCGGCCTTCCTGTGCCGTAGCGGATCCCACGTGGGATCCAGCAGTACGTCCACTGAAGTGACCGGTAGACAATTCGGGTAAACGGACGGCCAGGTATCTTGGTTTATTGTTTTAACTATTAACAAAGAAGAATCAATATGATTAATGGATTTCGAAGGGATAGGGATTTCGTGGGGAGACTGTAAGATTCGTGCACTATTGTAGGCTTTAAGAAATTGCTTGGATAATATTCTCCGTGGGATGGCGAGAGCCATGAACGATGACTGGCTTATACCGTACCCACGTTCGGCACCCATCTTACTTATCAGAGAGACGTGGGACCACCGCAACTCTTATGGTAAAGAGGTGTTAGAAAATATACTTAAAAATACATGTCATAAAAATTGACCAGTAAAAAGATGCATCAATCACTCACACCTAACTCTTCTCCATAAATTCCTATAAAGAAATAAGATAAATTGGCAAGAGCAATGTTTAATGGCCTGTGATCATCCAAAGATAAGATTCTAAGGTGTCATCGCAAAGTTTTAGGTTCAAATCCAGTCTTTATTATTTACTTTAAAAAAAACTTAGAATGAAATTATGAGATATTTTTATTAAAAAAAGGCCTGAATTTCTACAAAATGAATTATTAAAAAAGAGCAATCATTGTGTTAAATGATTAAAAAAAGGAAATGTATTATTAAAAAGGACTATTATTGTAGGGTATTTTATAAAAGAAATATGTATTAATTTGTGCGAAATGATAAAATTACAAATAAATTAAAAATGTGATTAAATATTTTTCTGCATTAAGAAAAACTAAAGATTGAGTGCTTCTACAATCATTTTCTTTTCTTTCTTCTAAACTATTTTTAAATAAAAAAAGGTGAATTCTTATAAAAAAATAAATTAAATTTATTATCTTATACCTTCTATTTAAAAATTATCATAAATATTTATAATATGACTACCACGACATAGTGAAATTATTATTGGGAAATCTCGAGTAACATGATATGCGCAGCGAAAGATAAAAACAAAAACTAGTTTTCTAAAATAATTTTATTGGATCGTCGTTGGATGATCGGGAGCATAAAACTCATGAAACCAAAAACTACATAAAGGGTGCGAGATATTCTCACATAGGGGAACACCTATATCCCTTAATATCACATATCCTAGTTTATGAACGAAGGAGTTCTTGCAAACTCCTCTCTGGTAGTGATCCACATGATTAACGCAGTAACAATGCATCTCCTCGTGTAGTACGTTTTTTCCTCGCGATCGTGCACCACTATACAGTAGCACATAAGGAGGGATTAATCCCTCTTGCTGTCTTCTCACATCATAGAGGGGGTAGTCAGTCGGCCAGAGGAAGAAATAGGAGGAGGAGATATGAGGTTGTTGGCTATAGGGTCTAGCCTCCAACACATTTAGTCTCAACTCATATTTATAGAGAGCCTCGTTTAACTAACCCTAATAGATCCTTCTTATTGAGCATTGGATCTCCATTCAATTACTTCTTGCTTAATGGATATTGGATTTTTATTCAATAACCATTCTAAGCTCTATTGAGTCTCTTCCAAGGATCCATTAAAATAAGAGCTTATCGGATACCCCATATTCGATCCTTTATTCGTCGCGTTGTTTACTATGTGTGACCCTCTAGGCTAAATATTGAGCATGCCATGAGTTGCATATGTTAGAACTCATTTTGACACATAACTTCTTCTAATTCAATAAAATACTATCTCCATAATAATTTACTCAATTTATCAACTATAGACATACTATGCCACTATGTTATAGTCCTCATACGATACATGAGAATCTAATCCATTGGACTTGTTTACCCTCAATTATCGTATATCTATAGTTTCTCATCTATCTAACATATTAAAGATCATATAATGTACTGTAAGCCTATAAATAATTCATTTAAGTCTCATTCTAATCGAATTTCTTCGGAAAACTCATCTCTCAATCTGAATCTCACGCTTATTATATTCATCACGATCCGATTAACCCTAACTAGGGATTTACCTAAGTGGGAATACATGATATATTTCTCTCATCATACCAAGAATAGATGATCATCTACTGATACTCAATTGTCTTTAGAAGGTTAATTGTTATTCTCAATAACTATATGTACTAGATTCGGAATTTTCAAACCTATAAGTCTAGTATCAAATAATGGAGTACTTAAACAAGACATTATTGGTGTTTCAAGTATAAGGACCTAATATATAACTAGGATTATTGAATCGCTATCTAACGATGAGGTATATTTAATTATCGAACATTCCGTAAGTAGATCATTTAGTAATCTCATTCTCCAATAAGTACTTGTACTATGTTCTTAATATCCATACACAAGCAACTATAAGACCAACTATCTCCATTGTATGGATGAATATATAACACATCGGTCTGCCTGATTATCTCGGTGTCCTTCTCGAATAACTTATAACCGAAAATATTTAGGATCAGTGTTTAAGGATGAATTGATTTTATTATTATGATCTCATCATGATTTAATTCTCATTGCATATATCAAAGGACATCACAATATATATTCATCATCCAATATAAAATGAGAAAATATCATAATAATAATAATAATAAATTAAAAATTTATATAACATATCAAATGTACTATCACGTAATTGACTTACAATGCACCTATAGTTAACAATTATGTCATTAGTTAATAATAAGAATAGATTATGAGTCACTTGGAAGTGATAATGCATTAGGATGTTAAAACTATATAGAAAGCCTTAAAGCACTAAAGACCCTGGACTCAACAATATTTTGATCTGATCGAAAACTCTTGAATTTATTAATTGTGCAAGGATCTTTGGTTCTCCTCCTCGGCATCTTAATTTATGTTATTATAAATATCTTAGATTAGGTTTATTGTAGTAATTTTATAATATTTACTTATATCTCAAGGGATGATAATAGAGTTGCACATTGGTTATCGAATTTTATCATATGTTAAAAGTGATATTCTTAATATGAGGAACACCTTAAGATTATTTCAAAATATTATTCTTAATCAATGAAGTTAGGCGCTTGTCTAAGCACCTAAATGATGCATGAATAGGCTAAGTAGGTCGTGTGATCAACTTCAATTAGACATTGCCCAAAAATTGGTCGACTGAAGTACCTCATCATAATAGGCCTTCTTCTCCCATGGTTATGATGTTTTCTTTAGTAAACAATGACAACAATGACAACATCTTTCTGACTTACAACATAGCCTACCCCTTATTAATTCTTCTATTTCCTTGTGCTATTGCTTCCAAATTCCAAACTACATATTTTTTTTTTTTCTCATCTCTCCTCCCTATTAGATTGTTAGAAGGGTCAAGTTTCATTTTAATTCATATAATTTTGATCATGGACCACATAAGCTCTTATAGTTTATTTATGTCTAAAATAACCCTTATATTTTTTAAGTCTTTTCTATCAAATCTAAGTTAACATATATTATAGTTTAAAATATCACTAATATAATGATATATATAATTTATATTAAAAAAAAATTAGGGTCACTATCAATAGTAAGAGGAGGCATTATCGTTGAAGTAACCACCAATAACAGCACCGAGCTGCTACTATCTAGCAAAGCGTCATACACACGTAGTCTCTCCTACGCTAACGATAAGCTCAAGAGGTTCCGATCCTCCCTCAGGTGATTGTGCGTCAACTAGTCTGACGCTATGCATGTAATGGTCTCCTAGTCTCTCTTCCTCCTCCTTGGCATCTTTATTCCCACCGCTTCCCACTTCATCCTCTCCTGCCCCCCCATTTGTCGTGCCTATGACAGGATGAATCTTAACATTTTTTAAAACTTAAATTATATGTGACATTATATTAATAGTTTATTATGAGTTAACATATCACGTAAGTAGACTCTAACGTTTGTTAACTCAAACTTGATAGGAGAGGCTTATATGCTATGTTTTTTTAAAATATATAAGTTATTTTAAACATGAGTAAACTATAAGGCTTTAAGTGGTCAATGACCAAAATAACATGGCTAAAATGAATCTTAACCATTGTTAGAATTATAAATTATTATTATTTGCTATAAATTTAAATAATATTAATTTTGATATTATTTTGTTTTATTATTTTATTATTAGACTATGATAAATTAACACTTTAATATTCTGTAGATGATTAAATGAATGTAATTTTATAAAATAAGTGATGATAATTTGAATGTGAAATCATATGCAACTCAAAATTTATTTTAATATTTGATTTTTTTTTGGCCAATTATATTTTTATTATTTTTATTTTGATGAGTGCATCACTACACTAAGATGAGTGCCTAAAGCAACTTGAATCTTGATATCTTGGTATTTTTTATAATATTATTTTTAATATATAAAATATAATAAAATAAATTTTATTTTGCTTAAAAGAAAATATGCATGAACCCTTGAGTGGGTATATGATTATTGGAAAGTGACCACCTATTCCTATAAATAAATAAGGGTTGTTTACGATGTTGAAAGTGAGGAGCTGATTGTATTGGACAAACACTGATTTTGTAAAAGGCTTTTTTTTTTCAAATGAAGAAATAGAGAGCTTTGTTCGACTCCTCCATCAAAATCCTATCAATCCCTTGCTATCTTTATTTATTTTTTTTTCTTTTATC